CTAGATTATTTTATGTCTTTGAATTTTTTGCTTTCATGTGTGTATGTGCACCCTGCCCCAAAGAGATCAGAAGAAGGCATCAAATCCCCTGAGTTTGGATTACAGAGGGTTTTTAATCTCCACAGGGATGCTGGCAACTGAAACTGACTGAGAGAGAGCAGGCACATGCTCTCAATCTCTGAGCTATCTCTCTAGCCCCAAGCATTGGCTTTTTCTTGTGCCTTTTTTGTGATGTATTTGGGCTTCCTTTATTGCTGTTTATGCATCCTTCCTGAGCTCTGTGATCTGTTGAATATCTTCTGGTTCAACTCTGGTACCTAGTTCAGCTCATCAGAATGCATCCTTGCTTCCCTAAGGATGTCCTTGGCCATATGAGTTTCTCTTCCAAGTTGCCCAGAGAATTTCTGCTCTGCCAACTCCTGATGGCAGCATGCCAAGGCCTAGGCTGATGTTGGCAGGGGCTTCTTTTCCCAGTTAGGTGTGGCAAATGTGTGGTCTGGCTACTTTGTCCACTGTCATGGCCAGGCATATTCTTTTTAGTCTGTTTTTATTATATTTTTACATGGTTCATATTGTGGCATATGTAATTTTGTATTTTGTTCTTTTTATTATACATTTTTTTGGCTTTGGTATTCCATTAAATGGATATACCTAACATACCTAATAATTTCATTTTATTCTTTTTCTCCTCTTTTACCCTCCTTCCCTCCTTTCTTTCTTACGAGGTCTTACTACGTTGTCCAGCTGGACTTGAACTCCTAGGCTGAAGTGGTTTTGTCTTAGCATTGTGAGTAGCTGAGCTGAATCATGAGCACATGCCCTGGGTATGGCAGTAGTTTCGTTTAAAAATCTGGTGACAATACAAGTCAAGACTTGGGTTTTAGGAACTGTTCAGATCCCCCGCCCCCTGCATTGCTGTTCTGTAGCTTGAAATGAGTATCTTTGGATCTTGAGGGAAATCTTCAAGTAAAAGTTTCTGGTTATAGTAAAATTTTACCCATATTGCTTTTTCCCTCCTCATTTTGTCTCATTGAACTTAGTAAAGTGTTTTCTTTTTTAAGGTATATAGTAGGACACAGCTTAGTTTTAAGTTTTATTGTTCATTCTTTCATATCAAAATTAGAGAAAATTAAGCTAGACAACACTTGGGAGGCAAAAAAAGAGGACCGAGAGTTGAGACTGTTTCAATAAACAGCAGTAAAACTAGGAAAGGTCAAATATAGAAGAATTACTGGATCTTTTCCTTATTTATGATTTTACCTCCCCCTTTCTGTATTGTTATTGCTTAATTCAGGCTTTTTGAGTAACTGACAGCCGTTTTTCTCTTTGGTATTTAAAGTAGCTTGTGAAAAACCTAAATAAACAAATAAATGGAAACACAGAGGCTTGATATGGTAGCATGGGAAACACCTTTAGTCCAAGTACTTGGCAGCCTATGGCAGCTGGATCACTGTGAGTTCCAGGTCAGTCTTGGCAACATAACAAATTCTAGATTGGCCCTGGTCTGGTCTGGCTATATAGTGAGGCCCTGTCTTTTCCCCTCTTCCTGTCCTTGATAAATAAATAAATGAGGTAACCTTGGCATCAGATGCAGGTAATAATGTATAGGCTGAGTTTGTGAAAGCTGATAAACTAAAACTCCATTCGACTAAATCCTAAAAAATTCAGTATTGTTGAAAGCTGGTGTTAACATTGAAAGACCCTTCAGTCTTTCTCTCAGGACCCTTGCCTCAAAGACCACCAGGGAGCCGAAGTTCTCTGCAAAACGCAAGAGGATTTTCATTAAGCCAGTGCGGTTCATCAGCCTTGGGAAGGAGTGAACCCTGAGCAGAAATTATAGCAAGTTTCTAAAGCCTAAAACCGCAAACGGGGTGGTGGGGGTACAAGGGGAGTTTGGAAGTTGGTGCCAGACCTTCATGAATCATGTACACTTGTGTCTGTCTGGCTGACTGGCTCGTTATTTGTCTCAGGCAACGTCTGTGCCCTGGCTGAACTTTGTGACCGGCCTGGAACCTTGAGGTTTGAGGAATGTTCCCAAGTCCTTGAGGACTGAGGTCTGGGAAATATTTTCAAGTCCTTGAGGACCACCAGGGGAAGATGTTTAAGTGTAGATACTCACATCCAAGGATGGGACAGCTTAGTAATTTTCTAACTATTGGGGGGCTAACTGTTGGGGTTCTTCAACACCAGTTAGTTTGTGTGTAGCAGGGAAATCAGTAAGCATGGAACTTGGTGAGAATCATGAGGTCAGGAGTGACTTCTAGTCTTTTGTAGCTACAGAGTGACTTGATTTCTGTATATTTTTCTTTTGGGGGGGTGGTGTGGTATGGGTTTTGAGACAGGATTTCTCTGTTTGGCCCTGGCTGTCCTGGAACTTGCTCTGTAGACCAGGCTGATCTTGAACTCAGAGATTTGTCTGCCTCTGCCTTCCAAGCATTGAGATTAAAGGTGTGTGCCACTGCCTGGCAGTCTCTGTATTTCTTTACTCATTAAATAATTTTAATTTTAAAATGACAGCTAACATTTATCATTTTCCCCCTGCATTCCATGTTAGTTACTTTTTGAACTATATGGTAATCACTGTGAACTATTTAGTCACCATGTTAGAAAAATAATAGCACTTTCATTTAATGAGCTTTTTAGTTTGATTTGTGGTTGCCTGCTAATGCATTATGATATACCTATTTGTAAACTTCTGTCTGTCTGGGATAAATTGAATTTTTTAGGTGTGATGGTAAAGGCATGCCTGTGAAAAGGATTTATTTTGACTTTCTGTTTTGTAAAAATGCAATATGCTTGGAGTGCTTGATAGATTCTGTTGAAAGTTACACAAAAACAGAATGAAAATAAAGGAGTTATTGGTACACCACCAAGGATTATGATTCCTGGAATTGTAGTCTTAAAGAGTGGAGAGAGCCAGTTAGACTTGTGGGTGTGGACTTGGATTTGAATTGTGTGTGTCAGAGCCAGGGTGGAGTAGGGAGTAGTGGAAACACAAGGGTTGGCTGAAAGAAAAATTAAAAAATAATTTATGTGAGTGTCTCATTCTGTAGTCCAGGCTAGCTTCAAACTCATGCTAATCCTCCTGCTGCAGACTCCCAGGTGCTGGACTTACAAGTACAAACCACCATGCCAGGCTTTGACTGTAATTTTAAGGGTTGCATTTTTTGTTGTTGTTGATTTGTTAGTCTTATTTAACTTAGATATAATGATAAAAGGCATGAGCCTTTGTACATGTGTGTGGTTTGATGAAGATATGGATGGGATAGGATGTAGGGAAGAATGTGAACAAAGGGTCTTCTTTCTCTTTTCATTTATTTTAAATTGCTACATTATGTCATATTTTAAAAATATAGACATTATAATTTTGAAGTGCATGTACATTATGGAATGGTTATTTCCTTCATTTTCAGAGGCCTTGTTTATTTTTGCAGTAGTCAGCAGTGTCTGTAATTTTAGTGTTGTGTGGGAGAGCTATTAATTGACCCATTGGGATTTAACAATAAATACTAGCAGAAATAAGGAGTTCAGGGACTAAATTTCCTTATAATTTTAGATAGTAACCCCCCCTTTCAGTGTTATCCTTCATGTGTTCTACATGGCAGGCTTCTTTTATAGTCTACCTCCTTTTTTCACAAGAAAAAAAAAGAGAAAGTTTTTAAATGGTCAGGTTGTCATTGTCTGACTGTACGTGTACCTCAAAATAACTCTCACATGGTCAGGTGTCATTGTTTAACTGTACCTGTACCTCAAAATGACTCTTCCTTTAGCTACATGGAGCTCAAAGCAGCAGTCTTCCTCTTCTGTCTGTGAGTTGTCCTAACACTGTCAAATAGTGAAGCTAGCCTGGGGATGTGGGAACAAACTAATACAAGGTTTAGTGTAGTATTTCTTAGAGAAATATAGCTGTATTGCAGAGAACTTTGAAAAGAAAATGAGCTTAGTTCTAACCATTGGTATATTTTTCTAGTCTTTTCTGTGTGTATTATGAAATCAGTTGTGAATTTAGCAATGGCTTGAGGGTAAGGAATGGACTTTAGAGATAATCCTGGATCTTGGTTATAATGTGGACAGATCAACATCATTTCCAGTTGTGTATAGTAGAGAAAAGGGAACTCTGCTGGCCAACTGGATAGTGGTTGGCTAGTGCTGATAAATATTTCCTGAAGGGATTATATTGATATCCTTAAGGCAGAGTCAAAGATTTGTGTTTTGACCAAAACAGCCCTGGCCTTGACCAGAATTGACAGTTTTAGTGCCAAATCTCGAGCCCCTAAGTAAGGAATATGTCTACATCTTGCCAGACTATGCCCAGCACTTATCTGAAAACTGATCTGCCAGTACTGGAGCTGTGACACAGAACCACAGGTTTGTGTCCTTTCCATATGGTCACAATTTCCATAATGGGTCTACTAGAACTGCAAAAATAGTTCCAGTTGTTGTGGCTGTCCTAGCCAGGGAGCCCATTAGGTTTTGCTCATAACAAAGAAACAGGAAATAGCAACATTGATAGTGGGGTTAGCTGCGGATTAAGTAGCTTAATAAGGTCAATATTTAACGATTCCAACTGTGGATTAATATTCTGTCAGTGTACTAAAGAGTATTAAGAGCTCTTGTATTGAAATTGGCTTTGCTCTCTGTGATTCTGTTTCATTTTATATGACTCATTCACAATATGTGTATCAAAGTCTAATAGATGTGTCTGGCTTCTTTTAAAAAAAATTACAATTTCCTAGAATGTAATGGATTTCAGCTTCCCTGGTAGTTTTTTTTTTTTTTTTTTTTTTTTGGGCTTTTGGAGACAGGGTTTCTCTGTATTGTTTTGGAGTCTGTCCTGGAACTCAAGCAGGCTGGTCTCGAACTCACAGAGATCTGCCTGCCTCTGCCTCCCAAGTGCTGGGATTAAAGGCGTGCGCCACCAACGCCTGGCAACTAGTTGATTCTTAAAACTTATGTGTTTAACAAATTTATTACTTGTTAACTAGTATTTATTTTTTCAGTTTCTCTTCAGCAACGGGTAGCAGAATTGGAAAAAATTAATGCAGAATTTTTACGTGCACAGCAGCAGCTGGAGCAAGAATTTAATCAAAAGAGAGCAAAATTTAAGGAGTTATATTTGGCTAAAGAGGGTAAGTTTGCCAGTCTCTTTCCCAATTCCCCTGCCAAAACTGTCTTAATGTTAAGTTTCTGATAGTTCAGTGTTTGTTTGTGATTGAATAAACCATGAGTGTGTTTTTGTGTGTGTGTGATATAATAAAAATAATGCTTTTTGGAACTAGGGTTCTCAGTAGTAGAAAATACATCATTAAGGGCTTTTCTGTGTAAGAACCCTGGCTGTCCCAGAACTTGCTTTGTAGATCAGGCTGGCCTCTAATTCACAGAGACCCACCTGCTTCTTCCTCCTGAGTGCTGGGATTAAAGGTGTGCATTACTACCACAACCTGGCTTTGTTTTTGTTTTGTTTTTTAACTTAAAATATATTTATTTTTATGTGTATGGGTGCTTTGCTTGCATGTTTGGTGTGTGCTATGTGTGTCTAGTGACCATGAAGACCAGAAGAGGGCATAGGATCCCCTTGACTGGAATTAATAGACAATTGTGAGCTTTCATGTGAATGCTGGGAATTGACCCTGTGTTCTAGTTTTTCTTTATTCAATAAATGAAAGTTAGTTTTGAAAGATTTTTTTTTTTTGAGACTGGGTTTCTCTGTATTACAGAGTCCTGGCCATCCTGGAATTTGCTTTGTAGACAAGGTTGGCCTTGAACTTACTGAGATCCACCTACGTCTGCCTCCCAAGTGCTGTAACTGAAGGTGTACGCCACCACTGGCCTGCTAGTTTTAAAAGATTGTTTGATTTGTTTTCCATTTCCCTTTGTTCCCAAATGAAGCTTTTAGGTTTTCCTATTTTCTTTGAAGTTATTTTCTGTGAATTTTTGTAAATAGCAAAAAACAAACAAACAAAAAAAAAACGCAAAATAAGAACCTCTCCCTTCTGCCCTCCCTTCCTTTCTTTTATTATGTGTGCGGGAGTGGGTATGTGTACTAGTGAGCGCATACATGTGCAGGTCAGAGAACACCTTTGTGGTGTTAAGTCTGCTTCTGCCTTTTCTCAGGTTTTGGGATCAAATTTAGGTCAGGAGGCATGAGCAGCAGGTACTGTTACCCACTAAACCATCTTACTGTGTCATTTCTGACATGTATTATCAGTTTTATATCTGAATTAAACAGCTTTCATAATGGTTTAGTTAAAAATACTTGCTCTAAACTGGGGTTGGAGGGAGGCTGGGATGGTGGTGGTGGTGGCCATGAGCGCCTTTAATCCCAGCACTTGGGAGGCAGAGGCAGGTTGATTTTCTTGACTTTGAGACCAACCTGGTCTGTAGAGTGAGTTCCAGAACAGCTGGGCTACACAGAGAAACCCTGTCTTGAAAAACCACATGAACAAACTAGCAATGTTAAAATTACTTCAGTTAACTGTACTTTATTATTTGACATTGTTAACAAATTTAAGCTGGCCATGGAGAACATTGAAGCAACTTTTTACAAAATGACAGAAAGGAATTCTATGATCCTCTCTTGGTAACATTCCTAAAGGCAACATATGTGGTGTATAAGACATCAGTGTTGGTTATTTAGCTTTTATCTTGGACACTTGCCCATATCATAATAAAAATCTCATTTAAAACTTTATTCTTAGCTGGGCAGTGGTAGTTCATGCCTTTAATCCCAGCACTCGGGAGGCAGGTGGATCTCTGTGACTTCAAGGCCAGCCTGGTCTACTGAGCGAGTTCCAGGACAGCCTCCAAAGCTACAGAGAAACCCTGCCTCGAAAAACCAAAAACCAAAACAACAACAAAAAACCCCCAAAAAACAACAACAAAAAATCTCAAATAGCAGCTTATATTATTGTACCTTCAGTGAAGGCGGAGACCGGTCTTTATAATCATCACAGGAACAAACAGTGTTGGTGTGTTCAGCAGTCTTTGTCTTTCAGCAAAGTAGGTCAAGGTGACTCAGAAGTCCAAACACTGCTTTTCCTCTGGAATGGACAGTTTTGCTGCTACTATAATTGCTGGGCTTGCATTTATTTGGAATATCACTGAGTTGTAAGTGCAAACAGTAATGAGGGCTAGTAGTAAAAGAGATGATAAGGCTACTTTTGGGCTTCTTTTACTGCCTGTTTTTGTCTTAGTGTGCATTTTTTTTTCAAGGTGACTTCAGTTGGGAATATTATAAAATCTCAGAAAATTTGATTGATTTTTTCTTTTTTTAATCAACCTTTAAAAAAGTATTCTTCCTTTAATCAGCTTCAATCAGTGCTTAATACTGCAGCAGTGTTTATGCTTTTGAAATCTCAGTCTGGAGTGTTAGTGAGATCCTATTCTCTGACGCTCCAGACAAAAGATTGTGGAAGAAAGTGATAAAAATGGAGATTGAGTTTTCGAGTGATGTCCAAAAATACTTTATGCATGGCCATAATTTACATGGTGCTCTGATGCTTTTAGAATTTCAGTTATGAAAAGCTTGGTTTAGGAATCTACATATGGTCCAGGTGACATATGCTCACTTAGATAGGGATATGAAATGAGGAATATTTTTAAAATTATAGTTAAAACTATGAAGAAGTAAAGATAAATAAGAAAAACTAATTAGAGAAGTTGCAAACAAAATACAAAAACAGAGAATGATCCATGCATGGTGGCATGTGCCTGTGAATCCAGCATTTGGGAGGTGGAGTTAGAAGAATCTTGAATCTGAGACTAGCCTGGGAAAAAATAGCAAGAGCTTGTCTGAACAACAGCTTCATCAACAGCAACTGAACTCAGGAAATACCATAGTAGCCCCTCAAGTGATAGAACACAATGGAATAGCATCATCAGAATACATAAAAATGATTTTCAACCTAGAATTTTAGTTTTTTTATGTTTATTTATTTATTTATTTTTTGAGACAGGGTTTCTCTGTGGCTTTGGAAGCCTCCTGGAACTAGCTGGTCTCCAACTTACAGAGATCCATCCACCTGCCTCTGCCTCCCAAGTGTTGGGTTAAAGGCGTGTGCCACCACTACCCAGCAAACCTAGAATTTTAATATTTAGCTGAGTTCTTAAACAGTGAGGACAAAGTGCATCTTTGCACATAAATGCTGAAAGCATTTATCACCTGCACAGTTGCTAAAGTAACTTCATCAGAAGAGAACTAAGCAGGGAATGTTTGGGGCATAAGAAAAAATACAAAGCTGAGAAACTGATAAATTTGACTACTAAACAACACCAAAAACCATTCCAATTCACTCACATAAAAGTTTAAAAGAAGTCTTAAATGTCTTTTGGGCTGAGGAGAGCACTTGCTATTCTTGCAGAGGACCCAGAGTTGAATTGCTGCTCACAACTATCTTTAACTCCAGCCTCAGCAAATATGCCCTCTTCTGCTATCTGCTAGCACCAGCCATGCACCTGGTACATGTAGGCAAAATACTTATATATGTAAAATAAAAATAATACTAAAGGACTTGAGAGATGGCTCAGAGGTTAAGAGTTGTGACTGCTTTTGCAGAGGTCCTGAGTTCAATTCCCAGCAACCACATGATGTCTCATAACCGTCTGTAATGAGATCTGGTGCCCTCTTCTGGAAGAAATTAATAAAGAGACAAACTTGAGTTCTTGAATCACCAAAACAAAGAAAGAGAAATAAAGACAAGAGTAGAAAGGGGAATGATTGGGAAGAGGAAGGTGGTGATCAGGAGTGGGAGGGGATGAAAATGGATAAAGGGGAGGGGATATGACCAAAATCATATGCATGTATGAAAATGTTGTGAAGTTCATTGTGCATAATTCATGTACAATTAATATTTGTTAATAAAAGCATGAAAAATTAAACAAAAACCAAACCAAGTGTTTGGGAGCCTCAAGCATGAAAACTGGTATAACGAGTACTTAAAATAGTTCTACTTTCAGTTTTTTGAGGAATTTCTTTTTTTTTTTTTTTTTTTTTGGTTTTTACGAGACAGGGTTTCTCTGTATTGTTTCGGAGGCTATCGGTCCAGCCCAGCCTCGAACTCACAAAGATCCGCCTGCCTCTGCCTCTGCCTCTGCCTCCCGAGTGCGCCACCACCGCCCGGCTGAGGAATTTCTATAGTCTATCATTAGTACTTTATTATTTTGCCAGAGATCCTCATGTAAATGGAGGCTGAGCTTTTGTTTTGTCCCGACTGCCCAGTCCAAATACACACACAAAAGCTTACATAAATTACAGAGTGCTCGGCCTATAGTTGAGGCTTTTTAAAATTTATTCATTATGTATACAGTGTTCTGCCTGCATGTATGCTTGTACACCAGGAGAGGGCACCAGATCTCATTATAGATGGTTGTGAACTATCATGTGGTTGTTGGAAATTGAACTTAGGACTTCTGGAAGAATAGCCGATACTCTTAACTTCTGAGCTATCTTTCCAGTCCTAGCTCAGGCTTATTACTAACTAGCTCTTACAGCTTAAATTAACTCATTTTTATTAATCTATATCTTGCCACATGGTTGTTGGCTTTACTTGTCCTCTAGCATCTTGCTTCCCTGGGGCTGCTTGAATCTCTCTCTGACACTGCTCTTCTTCCTCTCTGTATTTTCAGTTTGGCTTTCCAGTCTATCCTTATTCTGCTTTGCTACAGACCAAATCAGCTTTATTGTCAACCAGTGAGAGTAATATATTATTTACAGCATACAGAAGGATTATCCTACAACACCTCATAGGCAATACAACAAAATAAAAAGAAATTATTTACAAAATTAAAAAATGAAGGAACTTTTCTTCTCTGAAGAACTCTGTGTTTGCTTAGAGAATTGTTCACAATTGCTATTTAACATATTAAAATGTATGTTATTGAATACTTATTATAATCCATATTATCCAATATGAAGGAAGAATTAGTACCAGTATAGATTTAAAAGTTGAACATTTTGTGTTCATGTTAGTCACAATTTTTTTAATGGAGAGAACAGTGGGAGCTGGCAGTAAGTGAAAATAGACATATCTCTATAGAGGGATAGTAGGCTTATCATTGTCTTCTTTGCAGTGTTAGGGAACAAAACCCATTGAATATTCCAGACAATTCCAGTGCTATACCACTAAATTGCCTTCCTGACTCTACACATCCATCTTTCTTTCTTTTCTTCTTTCTTTCTTTCTTTCTTTCTTTCTTTCTTTCTTTCTTTCTTTCTTTTTCTTTTTTGGAAGACATGACCAAATATATGTCCTATCTAGGCTTAAGATGTGTAGTATACATGTGACTTCAACTTAATGTTTAAGGGATTATAAAGAGTAACTGAAAGAGAGTAAGCTTAGCTTTATTAACTGTAAGTACTATACAGTCTGGCTTTCTTCCATTAAGTATGTCTTGAAGGCTTACTCTTTGAAAGTTACTATTCTTAGAGGCATTTATAATACATCATTTTTATCATTTCAACATCCCTGTGAAATGGTCATCTTTAATCTCAACTTTGTAGAGTAGTTAAAGAATTTCATTATTAGGGCTCGAGAGATGGCTCAGTGCTTAACAGCTCTGATTGTTTTTCCAAAGGACCTGTGATTATTTTGATTTAGTAAGTTGTAAAAGCCTAAATATATCACCAAAAGTGTGACCTTCCCTAGTGTTTTATAGGATAGTTTAAATTATTTATTTATTTGTTTATTTTGCTTTTTTGAGATAGGGTTTCTCTGTAACAGCTCTGACTGTCCTGGAACTCACTTTGTAAATACTTTATTTTTGAAACCCAGCACATTTTATATTTCTTTTTAAATAGCTTCATAATTTATGTTAGCATTTTAAAATATAATTTCTTCATTTCTTTTGAGTTTGATACAAATTGAACTACACATTAATGGAAAATCTTGTACTTTTTCCACAGAGGATCTGAAGAGGCAAAATGCAGTATTGCAAGCTGCACAGGATGATTTGGGTCATCTTCGGACACAGCTGTGGGAGGCTCAGGCAGAGATGGAGAATATTAAGGCAATTGCCACAGTCTCTGAGAATACTAAGCAAGAAGCTATAGATGAAGTTAAAAGGCAGTGGAGAGAAGAAGTTGCTTCGCTTCAGGCTGTGATGAAAGGTAAAGAAAAAACCAGGTTTTAGACTTTCTAAGCTCAACAAATTCTGATGCTTGATACCATTTTCAAATGGCCTTAAAGTGCATTTTGTGTTCATTTGTGGCTTTATATACTGTCATCATCAAGATGTCAGATGAAAGGGAACCAGAGATGTTGTAATGGGCACATCATCAGTGTCGTCTAATAATGAAGATTTACAGTGAGTGTTAGAGAGATAATGAATTAAATGAAGGTTGTAGTTACTTGTAAGACTTTTTTTTTGTTTTTTTACAAGACAGGGTTTCTCTGTATTGTTTTGGAGGCTGTCGGTCCAGCCCGGCCTCGAACTCACAGAGATCTGCCTGCCTCTGCCTCCCGAGTGCTGGGATTAAAGGCGTGCACCACCACCGCCCGGCTACTTGTAAGATTTAAATCAGGGTTTAAACCTAGATTGTTGTCTAGGTTTTTAAGTATAATATATATTTGTATGTGAAATATTTGTTTGATTTGATGGGCAAGAATGGCCTTACAGCTAAAATGGACTTTATGGAATGTCAACTTGAGGCCCTTGGCCTGAAGGAAGTGTAATAGTGTGTGTAGACTCTTTCCTTTCAGCATACATATATCATTAGTTCCTTCACATTTTGAGAATGAAAATGAAACAGGATCTTTGAGATCCTGGAATTAGTTAGTGTTTACAAATGTGAACTAATGGCAGTTGCCCTGACTTGGTGGGGCGGGGGATTGTATTTGTGTCCCATTGTTTGAGAGGATTCAATTAAGGGTACCTCTGTTTCTGAGTCTGTAGCTTTCACTAAGGGTTATTCTGGTCTCATGTAATAGGTCTGACTATAGTGGTTTATCTATACAGGAGTTCCTTTTTCTCATAGGAATCAAGTCCGTCTCTAGGTAAGCTAGGGGTGGTCACAATAGTTCTCTGACCCCACGCATATCCTGAACTTTTCTGGCTGGCTGCTTCTATATACTTACCATATTCTTTAAAATTACATCTTTGCTTCATGGCTGAGAAATGGTTATACCTCCTCCAGTCTACATTAGAAAAGTAATTTTTTTTCTGGAGATCTTCATGCTATATCTTCCTCACACATTGTTGACCATGTATGTGGTTAACTTTAAAAGAAATCGAAATGTAGTTTTAAGTCTGTGTATTTAGTTTTGTGCTGTGGAGAATCAAATCCAGAGCTATTCACATTTGAGGCAAGTTTTTCCACTAAGGCGTTTACTCAGCCACAAAGTGGAGTATTTTTACTGAGCACTGTAAATTACCAAAGTTTGGTCTTGTTAGCAATGAAGAAGGTATAGGAATTGGGGCTGGAGAGATGGCTCAGTGGTTAAGAGCACTTGGTACTCTTGTAGAGGATCTGGGTTCATTTCCTAGCACCCACAGGGTGGATTTAATTGCAATTCCAGGGGTCCTGGCACTCTCTTCTGACCTCTATAGGCAACAGATATGCACATATATGTAAAATAAAAATAAATAAATCTGAATAAAAAGGGGTAAAATTTAATGGGGTACCAGTAGTACCTGTCAGGTGATGTTTCAAGATTGTATTAAACATGAAGTTATTTTGTAAAGACTATATAATTTGTCTGAATTTAGAATTGTAGGTTTTAGTAAAATATCCCAGAAATAATATTTATTTCCTTATATATTCATGTAGTTATAATGAAATGTTGTATTTCTTTTGGGAGCCACGGTATAATGTCAGAGAAATGGATTTGGGAGTGGGTCTTAGATGGAAGTTGAAAGCTCTACTTTGAACCTTCTTCAAGGTTCCTTGTCAAATAGCATAGGGCAGGTCTGTTGTGAAGATTGATGAAGTAATAAAACCCTTATTTAAACTCATAATAAGATCTGGAATTTTTTATTTCCAAAAATTTGTCTTGGGGCTAGAGAGGTGACTCAGCAGTTAAGAGCACTGGCTGTTCTTTCAGGGGAACCCAGATTCAGTTCCCAGCACGCACATGGCAGCTCACAACTGCCTGTAACTCCAGTTCCAGGGGATCTGACACCTTTATACATACATACATACATATATACACATATATATATATATGCTTAACACCAATGCACATAAAATAAAATAAAAAAATTAAAGAAAAAAAATGTCTTAAGCTCTTTACGTAACTTAAAAAATTTCAGTGTACTAGGTATTGCTCCATGATGCTTAGACATGGACTATGTGGTGTTTTATAGAGACAGTTCGTGACTATGAGCATCAGTTTCATCTGAGGCTGGAGCAGGAGCGAGCACAGTGGGCACAGTATCGAGAATCTGCAGAGCGGGAAATAGCTGACTTAAGAAGAAGGTTGTCTGAAGGTCAAGAGGAAGAAAATTTAGAAAATGAAATGAAAAAGGTATGCAGGAATACATTCACTTACAGAATTACTTGAGTCTAAAAGCAAAGTGTTTAAAAGCATTGCTGTAGAACTGGAAGTTGAACATTGTGCTTTCTTTCTTTTGAGGAATTACTTATGAACTAGACAGCCTTTTCCCCTTGCCCTCCACAGTACATGTGACTAACTGCCTTACTGTCTTCAGATCTTTGATGAGATATCATTTCTTCATGAGGCCCTTCTTATCTCTCTTACTTAAGATTGTAACCTATCTGCCTCTTCCCACAGGCTTCCAGGACTCTCCAGATTCTGTACCCCGATTTAGGTGGTTTTTGTTTGTTTATTTATTTGCACAGCATGTTTCCTCATAAAATAGTTCATCTTTTACTGTGTTTGTTTACTGCTTTTTTTCTGTTCGATAGAATGTTAACTCCATGAGGATGTAGTTTTTGTGTATACAAAGTACATAGGGTGGCGTCTAGTACATAGTTGCCCAGTGAATTTGTGTTGGATGGAGATGTTCCTTGATACCGTGTCTAAACATTTTAGAATACTTGTGTTCATTTTTTTATAGCATACATTAGTACCATGCAATGTCCACCATGTAGATATTGACTCTAATCATGAGGCTCAATAGGAGGAGCCCATGTTGAGCCAACTTACTGATCCACATTGAGAACATCATAGCCCTTAAATCTTATTTTATGAATTTATAATACATTTTTTTTGAGACAGGGTTTCTTTGCATTGTTTTGGAGCCTATCCTGTAACTCACTCTGTAGACCAGGCTGGCCTCAAACTCACAGAGATATGCCTACTTCTGCCTGGGATTAAAGGCATGTGCCACCACCATCCAGCAGCATATGTATTTTTAAGAACATAGAATAATTAAAAATTAAATTTTCTTTTAAAATGGTTAATAATGATCTTTGGCTACTAACCCTTGATGTATATTTATCATTCCCACGATCACTATTCTTTGCTATTTTTAAAAAGTTTTAGTTTTAAAACTAAGTTGTGTGTGTGTGTGTGTGTGTGTGTGTGTGTGTGTGTGTGTGTGTGTGTGTTGTGCCCATGTGTGATGCTAGAGATGCATATCAGGTAACTTTATCATTCTACCTTTATATTATTTTGAATCTTCTTTTAATCAATTTCTTTCCTGCCATATGTCTTGATCATATTTTTCCTTTCCCCAATTCCTCCCAGATCCTCCTCACCCTCACCTAGTTTCATGTTCTCTTTTTGCCTCTCTCAAAAACAAAACAAAAAATGAAAATCAAATAAAAAGGCAATAACACACAAAAAAATAGCAAAGCAAAACAAAAGCACACAAAAACCATGGAAGTCTGTTTTATGTTGAGCTGCCCTAAAGTGTGGTTGGTATACCCAGTGCTCTCCATTGGAAAGAGCTGATATTCTTTTGCCAACTGGTCTTATTTGCAAATAGTGCCTTGGCTAGGGGTGGGACTTTGTGTCCGCTTCTCCTTCGCCCTGCTGGGATTTTGTCTTCACTTGAACTCGTTTAGGTTTTTTGTGTACTGACTGTCAGAGTCTCTGTGCATTCATATGTGCATCAGCCCTGTTGTGCCTAGAAGGTGCTGTTTCCTTAGAGCAATCTTTCTGCATAGTTCTCTGAATCTTGAGGGGGAGTCCACTTAGGACTGAGTGCTCCAAAGTCTTTCACTGTCTGCACATTGTCCACTTGTGGGTCTCTGTTAATAATCATGTACTGAAAGAAGAATCTTCTCTTACGAGGGTTGAGTGATGTTCCATGGGTATAGCAATATGGCATTAGTAGTCATTTTATGGCTGTGTTCCTTTAGCAGGATAATAGGAGTAAGTTTTCCTCATGACCTATCTAGTCTCAGGTTCTTAGCCACTTTAGCAGTGTCAGGTATGGGTTCCATCTTAAATGGAGTGAGCCTTAAATCCAACTGGGGGTGGGTGTCGATGGAGTGGGTTGGTTGGTTGCTCCCATAACATTTGTGCCACTATTGCATCAATAAATATTGCAGACAGGTTGCTGGGGTTTTTTTGTTTGTTTGTTTGTTTGTTTTTTTTTTTTGAGGGGGAGTTCGAAGCAGGGTTTCTCTGTGGCTTTGGAGGCTGTCCTGGAACTAGCCCTTGTAGACCATGCTGCCCTCACATTCACAGAGATCTGCCTGCCTCTGCCTCCTGAGTGCTGGGATTAAAGGTGTACATCCACCCCCCAACCCCCCTGTTTTTTTTAAGAGTTATATCTTATTTAGTCTTTGACAGTTTCATACATGTGTACAATATATCTTAGTCATATTTATTTCCTACTCCTAGTTCCCATCCCTTTCCTCCATCTGCTTTTATTTTATTTTTTCTTTCATTTTTTGAGACAGGGTCTATGGTTCACATACTTGGAACTCTCTATGTAGACGAGGCTGGTTTTGAAGCTCACAGATCTGCCTCCCAAATGCTGGGATTAAAAGTATATGCCACCACATTGGATGCCTTATTTTTTGAGACAAGGTCTTTCATTGAACCTGGAGCTCACTAATTAGGCTAGACCGACTGGCCAGTGAATTCCTAGGCTCTTCCTGCTTCTACTTCCCAGTGCTGGCATTGCAGGTACATGCAGCTACACTTGGCTTTCTGCATGGTTCCAAACCCAGGTCCTCATGCTTGTGCAGTGAGTACTGCACCAACTGAATCATCTCCTAGACCCTCCATGAATTTTATTTACTTACTTAATTTTTATTGTTTGTGTATGTGTCTCTGTAGGGTACATACATAAGAATTCAGGTGCCTTCTGAATCCTGATGCATCAGATTCCCTGGAGCTAGACCAGAGCTATAGGTAGTACGAGCTGCCTGACATGAGTACTGGGAATCAGACAAACTTGGGTCATCTACAAGAGCAATGCATGCTTTTAACCTCTGAGCCATCTCTCCAGCCCCAACTAGTTTTCTTTTCTATAAAGATAGGGTTTCTCTGTGTAACCACCCTGATTGTCCTGGAACTTGTTCTGTAGACCAGGCTGGTCTCAAACTCACAGAGATCTGTCTGCCTCTGCCTCCTGAATACTGGGATTAATGGGATTAATGTCATGCACCAACGCTGCCTGGCTTAACTATTACTTTTTAGGAAGTTTTTTTTTAAGTATAAAATTTTATGAATATTGTATAGTTTATACTCATGCTCAGTTTTTTAACTTTTTACCTTATAATATGTTGTACTTGTTAGAATTAATACCAGCTCATCATAAGTAACAAAGGTTTGGTCTTTGTATTCAGATTGTATTAGTTTTCAACCAGTGTCCCTCATCCTTTTTTCTTTCCTGTTTCAGACTTCCATCCAAGAAACCACACTGCATTAAGTCATGCAGTCATGTAGTTGTAGGCTTGGTTTAGCTATAACAGCTCTTCAATTTTATTTTTATTTTAATGACCTTTCTATCTCTTTTTATTTTTATTGTATGTGTGCATAATGTGGGGTGTATCTTCAGACATGCATGTGGATGGAGGTCAGAGAGCAACTTTAGGGAGTTAGTTCTCTCTTTCCATTGTTGATTACAGCGTTTGGACTCTGATCAACAGGCATGCACAGCTACCTAATGTGTGTGTTAGGAACTGAACGTGGGTCCTCTGATAGAGCAGTAGTTCATGCTCTTAAGTGCTTAGTTATATCCCTAGTCCAGAAGTTCTATTCTGCTTCAGAAAAACACATATGTTCTTTGCATGGACCTAGGGCCAAATATCATATTAAACAAAATAAACTATACTCAAAGACAAACATCACGCTGTCTCATATATGAATCTAGGGTGTGTGTATGTGTTTCATAAAAGACAAGGAGAGGCTATTTGGGGAAAGAAAAAAGACAAAGGAGCGAGGAAAATGAAACAAGAGGATGATGGTTGGTATTAATATGTTCAAGTATATGATAAACTGGAATGACATCTCTTTTTGAAGCCCATCTTTTTGTAAATATAATGAATATATGTTAATAAAAATAAAAAAACCTTGAATAAAAATGAGAATTGGTATTCATTTTTATGAATGCTAATAAAGTATATGGTATAATTGTTATACTAATTTTTAGCAGCTGGGTGGACTAGAGTTTCTTAGAAAAGCAATCAGTAAGTTGTTGCATTTAATTCCTTGTAATCATAGGCCCAAGAAGATGCTGAAAAGCTTCGATCTGTTGTGATGCCCATGGAGAAGGAAATTGCAGCTTTGAAAGATAAACTGACAGAAGCTGAAGAGAAGATTAAAGAGTTGGAGGCCTCAAAGGTTGTGAAACGCTGTTATCCATCTGCTCTAATGCCAGGAGCAAAATTGCAATCGCTTAAGAAGTAGTGGTGGGAAATGATTTAGTCAGGCATCTCAAGAATCTTACTTCTGTTTAAAATTCAAAAACAAAATGAAAGCAAACCTGCTCTGTAGTAATTTGGCCTTTTGATTATTTAAATCCTCAGTGGTGATTGCTGTAATTTTAAAAAGTGGCAAGCAAGAGAAAGATGCCATGCTATAGAGCTTGGGTGGAAGGGTTTTTTTATTGGGGGAAAGTGAATGGACAAAGGGGAAGGGGAGAGGGGAGGCTCGCCTCTGGGGACAGGAGTAGCAGGAGAGAGGGAGAGGTAGAGAGAGAAGGAGAGAGATAAAGGGGGGCAATGGGCAGGGCCTTTTAAAAGGAAAAATAGTGAATGTGCACAGGTGGTATGCTTAGTGGCTGCAGCTGAGGGCATATCCTGTCAGAACCCTAAGGGCAGGCCAGTACAGATGCCTGAATCTAACAGTTATGCCTAGTCATGAATGAAGACTTGTGTTCAGTTATCCATTTTATCAAAGTGAGACTCAACTTTCTTTTTTCTTTTAACAAGTCATCTTGATTGTTTTATTTTTGTAAAACAGGGTTTCATGTACTCAGGTGGCCTTGAATTTGTTGTGTGTTCCATCCCTATTTTACTCAGCTCTGGAGATCAGACCCAGAGCTCTAGGCAGAGCACTGACAATTGAGATACATTCCTTACTTAGGAGAACAAGCTGCTTATACTTGGCTTTGTTTCCTCACCCTCATTTTAGGAAATCTTTTAGACTGGATGTACCTCCTGTTGACCATATACACAGCATCACTACGATGTTGTTTCTTGTGCAGTGCCTCTTCAGCATACTCAAGGCCTAGACTTTGACTCTCAGCACTGCATAGGTTGGGCCTGGTGACTGATGTCCCATAATAGGAACCCTCTGGGATGTAGAGGCAAGAGGACATTAAGTTTGGGGTCATCTTCAGCTCCATAGTGAGTTGAGGTCAGTTTATATTATGTGGGATGCTGCCTTTAAAAAGCCAAACCAAGCTGGGTGGTGGTGGTGCACGCCTTTAATCCCAGCACTTGGGAGGCAGAGGCAGAATCTCTGTGAGTTCAAGGCCAGCCTGGTCTACAAGAGCTAGTTCCAGGACAGCCTCCAAAACCACAGAGAAACCCTGTCTCGAGAAAAAAAAAAAAAAGGCAAACCAAGCAAAAACAGAAGTGGAAACATTAATGTCTGTTTTTAATGCTGGAGATTGAACCTAGGGCCTTACTGACATATGCTAGGTAAGGGCTCTACCACTGAGAAAAATCGTTAGTAATGAAAGAAAGTAAGAGATGAGAGGTGTAGTTGAGGGGTACAGTGCTGGCACTTGTCTAGTATGGATGAGGGCCTGGGTCTGATACTCAGTACTAAAAGAGAATAGAGTCAGCAAGATGGCATGCTAGATAAAGGTGCTTACCGTAAAGCCTGATGATCTGTGTTTGATCTCTTCTACCCACATGGTGAAAAGGAGAACTGACTCCCACAAGTTGCCTTTTCACCTGCGTACAGGTCCTCTGACCTCCATATGCTCACTGTAGCTCTCATGTGCATGTGCGTGTGCGAGCATGTGCATAAAAGCCGGTGTGTTTCTTATAAGACATATAACTGAATACAAGGTAAGATTGAATATAAAGAAATAAACCAGTCCTGGTAGCTCACATTCGTAGGCTGAAGTAGGAAAATTGCTGTGAATATAAGGTCAGCTAAAACAACAAAGTGAGACCTTGTCTTAATAAACACACAAGTAGAATAAAGGGATAAATAAAAATATACTGTGTTAAGCCTAACCAAAAGAAAACTGATATAAGCAAGTGTAACAGTATAACATAAAATAGGTTAAGGGGGTGGGGTAGAGATTACTGCTAGAGATGGCTCAGTTAAAAGTGCTTACTGCTCCTTCAGAGAATTTCCAGGGTCAGTTCCCAGCACCCACATGGCAGCTCACAGCCTTCTGTAATCTCAGTTCCTAGGGATCTGATACCCTTTTCTGTTGTCTGTGGATACAACACATACATGGTGAGCATGAATTTGTGCAGGTACACACTCATATACAGAAAACAATTGCAACAAAAGGAATAGAGAGAAAGAGATAATAACTATGCAGTAGTCAAAAACTCAGCATTTAGTAGGCTGCATGACTTAGTAAAATTTCTTATCTTTATTATCTTTTGGATTTTCAACTGAAAAATTAGGATAATAAGACAGGTGGGGCCCAAAAAGAAAAAGAAAGATTTGGATAAGGTAGAGACAGGTGGATCTCTGAGTTCCATGCCAGTCAGGGCTACACAGAAATGCTATTTTGGAAAACAACACAAAAATAAAATGAAAAAAGATTCTCCTACAAGGGTGTTATGAGCCATATTCAAATTAGAACATATAAATGCTTTGGGTAATACATGGGAAAAGGTATCATTTCCAGGTACATTGTATTATTTCAACATACAAGATGATATATTTATCTTTCTAAATCTTTTTGAAATAAGGTCATAAAATATCAAATTTCACAGAATTAATGTTATTATGGACCCAATACTCTGGTCACATGTTTTTATAATAAAATATCTAGAGATGGATAAAAGAAATCTAATGGGAAAAAAATCACAAAGTGCTTAGGGTGGTGTAAATATTTTGTGTTTTTTGGTTGTTGTGAGTCGGTGCATTTAATTAGGGTTACTTCCAGGAATAGGGGCCACTTACTAGTGGCTGCATCACTAAAGAAAATGTCTTTTCCTCTGCCAAGAACCACTAACTAACTGTATAAATCCTTAGGGAGGAGAGGCCCTTCATGACAGACGGTAATGGGTCCAGTCTTGTGCAGGTAGTCACAGCTGCTTCTGCAGCAGTCATTATCTGCCTTGAAAACAGAGTTCCACAGTACTCAACCACCTCATCTGTCTCTTACAGTTTTCTATCCCCTCTTCTTCCAGTGGCCTTGGAAGGAAGGTATAGATGTAACATTTGCATTCAACAATAACTCACCCTCAATTCTTTGCCCAGTTGTGAGTCTATGCAGTATTGCCTGTTACAAAAAGAAGCAAACAGCAGCACTGTTCTAGGGGAATAAACATAAATATTTAGAAGGCAATTTAACAATCACATTAGTTTGCCCACTAGGGCCTATGACCTCCCAGCCATGGGTACATTTTGCCTGGCTGGTTGGTTGTGTTGCACCCAGAGTCTGCAGCTGAATGAGACTATTGGTGACAGTTTTCTCCCAGCAGCCTACATAACAACTTCTAGTATTCTGAAAGCTAGACAATAGGAAGGAAGCTTCCAGATTAATCCAATCTTGATTTCTGTATAAATCTACAACTGAAGTATGTAGTGTCTTCAGCAGTGGGGTCTTAGCATCTAAATCTGATATGCAACCAACAGATATAAATATTTAATATACATTTGAAGGGAAAATAAAAACAGTAAAAAGCTAAAATAAGTGGAAGGACATACAGAATCAGAAATTTGTGAAATAGGAATGTTAGAGAACTGAGGAGAATATCAACATAAAAAGGTGGAGAAATTTGTACAGAAAATTGAAAAAAATCAGATGAAATGGGGCATGACTACTGATATAAAAATAGTAGATACTATAAATAGTGTCATACCAGTACATTTGAAAAAAAAGTGAAAGAAATTCTGCTGGTCATGGTAAATGCTAGTAATGCAAGCACTTTGGAAGCAGTGGTAGGAGGATCAGACTGTCAAGATAAGTTTGAACTAGAGTGGCCTTATTATAATGGGCAATTAATCAGATTTTCCTCAAGATAAAATAGGAAGGCTAGCATAGTGATTATTACAGAATCTGGAGCCAAAAATCCTTTTTTGGTGTGTTGTGCATGTATGAATGTTACTGGCTTGTTTGGTGTTTGTGCGTGGGTGTGCAAGCCCACATGAGGTCATGGAGGCAAAGGAGGATGTGCAGTGTCTTGTACTAGCACCCTCTGCTTTGTTCCTTTGAGATAAGGTCGGTCTCTCACTTGAACCTAGAGCTAGTGCCACTTACTGGTGGGCAGTAAGTGCCAGTAAACTTTCTATCTCCAAGTCCCTATAATGCTGAATTTACACGTACATCCCTAGATTTTTGTGTAGGTTCTGGGGATTTGAACTGAGGTTCTCATGGTTTCACAGCTCAGAAAGGCCTAAGACTTGCTGTGTAGCTGAGAGTGATCTTGAAATTTGATCTTCCTATCTCTACCTCCCAGATGCTAGGATTTTAGATAAATGCCAGCATACTCTGTTTATGTGGTTCTGGAGATCTGCATGCTAGGAAAGTCCTTTACTAGCTGAGCTATAATGCCAGCCTTGGGTCAAAACCAGTCTTTATCTTGCTTCTCCTTCCCAGTAAACATCAGACTTAGCTGGTTTGGGGGCCATGTTTGTCCAGACAGAGTGATAACCTTATATTTTACAAACAGTGTCAATAAGAAAAGAAGGTTCTCTTATGTGACTAGTAAATTAAATAACACACAGGAAGATACAAAAAAAAGCCTTAGGTAACAGCCAAAAATATACACAAATTCTCACAATTTAAATATGGTGTATCATTTGAAAACTGATGTATTGCACAAGATTGTAAAACAATATGTTTTGGAAAGATTTTGAGAAATTTAAGTATACAGTAACTTAATAAAAGGTTATTACCTTCATCAAACACAGTGAAAGAATGTGTAACAGTCTTAACGTTAATGATGGGAACATTATCCTAGGAACTAAGCTCAGTAATTTTGTTTAGGTGGTTTTGTTTACTTGCTTGCTTTGTGTTTTGGTCCAAGAAGATGCAAACCAACATAAAGAGTCAGGACAGGAAAAAGATTAGCAGTTCACACCTGTAAACCCAGTAATAAGGAGTTGAGTACCACCCCATCCTTTAACTCTCCCCCCTTTTTTTTTTAAGACCTTTGAGACAAGGTCTTTCTTACTGTGTATCTCAGGCTGGCCTTAAACTCAGCATCCTCCTGCTTCCCTGTCAGATGCTGGGATCACAGGCATGTGCAACTATGCTTCTTAAGTTTTTAAAAATTAGATAAAATACTGACTCTGGAAGAACCATTAAAAATTTTGGCTATATTATGATACAAGTTTCCTTGTTAAAAGATAATCTAAAAAGTTGAAAGGAGAAGTTATACACTGTGGGGGCGGGGGAGTATGAGTTGTGCCTGACAAAGTTATCCAAAATTTACAAAATTCTGCAAAGTTCTTCTATGAAAAAAAGGCCAGGAAGAAAAACAATTGGAATATATGAATATACAATCACAAAGGAGATAACAGATAGTTCATGAAACAATTTTGAAAATCTTCAAAGTTGAGTGTGGTGGTGCATATCTTTAATCACAGCACTCGGGAGGCAGTCATTCCAATCTCTGAGTTTGAGGGCAGCCTGACCTATGTAGAGTTTGTGAGTTGTAGGACAGCCAGGCCTATGTAGCAGCCAGTTATGAGAAAAGCAACTAATTCATTAACAGAAAAAAAAATTAACATCCAGGGCTGGAGATATGACTCAGAAATTAAGGGCACTGGCTGCTTTTCCAGAGATCCTCAGTTCAGTTCCCAGCACCTACATGGTGGCTCACAACCACCTACAATGAGATCTGGTGCCCTCTTCTGGCATGCAGGCATACAAGCAGGCAAAACACTATATACATAATAAATAAATCTTTGTTTTACAGTTATAAGAATGTTATGCCATTTTTATCTTACCTAAAAGGTGGGGGGTGGCTGGGGAGAGATAATAGTTAGAATTCAATCCCTGGAACCTATAGAGGAAAAATGGGTGTGGTAGGTCTGATTGTAATTATAGCATGAGAGATGTGGAGACTTTTGGGGTCTACTGGCTAGCCACCCTAACCTACTGGGTGAGTTCCAGGTCAGTGACATACCCTATCTCAAAACAAAACAAAAACCAGGCGTTGGTGGTGCATGCCCTTAATTCCATCATTTGGGAGGCTGAGGCAGGTGGATCTCTGTGAGTCTGAGCCAACCTGGTCTACAGAGTGAGTTGCAGGACAACCTCCAAAGGAATACAGAGAAATCTTGTCTTGAAAAACCAAAACAAATAAAACAAAAGTCCCAGGAGACTGGTGCCTGAGGAATGATACCTATAGTTGTGTGATTTAGACACATATGTCCTTTGTGCACCCATGCATATATGTGTACTTGCACCTAAATGGGCACATATATGCATGAACACATGTAAGCAAATCACATCTGTATTGCCGAAAAGGAGAACAAGCAAGCATATGCATGCATTGCTCTGGAAATAGAAATTAAAAGTATGTTTTTGAAAAACATGGTATAAAATCTTTACATATAATTTCAATTCTATATTTACCTAAAAGATAGAGTTATAATTAGCATCTGTTAATTCTGTTATTTTCTAAATTTGTATCATATTTTAAATTTTAAAATACAGCCACTAACATTTACTTTGTCATTCCTACTAGGGTTGTAAAGTTGGGTTTTATACTTCTTTCAGGTTAAGGAACTGAATCATTATCTGGAGGCTGAGAAGTCTTGTAGGACTGATCTGGAGATGTATGTAGCTGTTTTGAACACTCAGAAATCTGTTCTGCAGGAAGATGCCGAGAAATTGAGGAAAGAATTGCATGAAGGTAAATAAATATGTTGTATACATCTTTTCTTTATTCTAAGGGAACTATATAAGTAAAATTCATGTTGATTAATAGCAGCAACAAATCCTAAACCACCAATGCAGCATGCTAGTGATGCAATTTAAGCTTTATAGTCCAGTTTGAAAACTCTAATGAAAGCTGCTAAAGGAATTTGGATTGCTAGTAGCCTCTCCTTCTACCACTACCACAGTAATAACTTCACAAGGCACGAGCTCTGGGCAGAAAGGTAATGAAGTTAGACATTTTCTGCTTAAAGTGCTTTAGTCTGCATAGTCATTTAGAGAGAGACAAATTAGCAAAAGTGAGAGTATCCTGCTTTCGAAGGGACAGTTTTGATTTCACTATTGAAGAAGCAATGTGATGTACAAGTGAACTCTGTGTTTCCATAAAAAAAAAAAAAAGTAAAAACCAACTGGGCTTGTGCATGGTGGGTTATACCTATACTCTTAATATTTGAGAAGCTGAAGCAGAGGAATCATTATGAGTTTGAGACCCGTCTAGGCTACAGACTGAGATATTCTGTCTCAAAAAAGAAAAAACACAGATTGGAGAGATGGGTCAGCGGTTAACACCACTACTGTTTTTTAATTTTCTTTTCTTTTCTTTTTTTTTTTTTTTTTTTTTTTTTTTTTGTTTTTTTTTTTGTTTTGTTTTGTTTTGTTTTGTTTTGTTTTGTTTTGTGCTATCCTGGAACTCACTCTGTAGACCAGGTTGGTCTCAAACTCACAGAGATCTGCCTGCCTCTGCTGAGATTAAAGACATACTCCACCACCAACCAGGGAACACTGCTGTACTTACAGAGGAGAGATTTGGTTGTCAACTCACAATTACCTCTAACACGGACATCTGCTCTGGGGTATCCAGGATCCTTTTCAGACCCCTGCAGGCACCTGTACTTGTGTGCATATAATCATAACCCCCTCATATATGCATAATTAAAATTAAATACTTTCAAAATTCATTTTATGTTTTGAGATCATAAAATAATCATATCATTTCCCCCTTCCATTTCTTCTTCCAAATGAACCCTCCAAGTCCTGTTCCCTTTAAAATTCTGGGCCTCTCTTTTAAAAACAAAACCTAAAAACCAAAACAAACAAGCAAGCAAAAGGCAAACAAATTTCTCCAAAGCAAACCAAAAGAAAAAAACACTATAAAATTGAATATTTGGGATACAGAGTGGTAATCGCTGTTTCCTTGACCATAGGTAGTTACAAGTCAGTAACACATGTAGCAACTGCAATTCTGAGGTCACAGTGAGTAAGTGAATAACTTCTGAGACTGAGCTAGGCGTTGGTGGCGCATGCCTTTAATCCCAGCACTCGGGAGGCGGAGGCAGGCGGATCTTTGTGAGTTAGATACCAGCCTGGTCTACAGAGCTTGTTCCAGGACAGCTTCCAAAGCCACAGAGAAACCCTGTCTCAAAAAACCAAAAAAACCAAAAGAAACCAAAAACAAAAAAAGACTGAGGCTGGTGGTACACACCTGTGATCCACTTGGACTTGGAGGCAGGAGAGCAGGAAGTTCAAGGTCATCTTTAGTTGCCACTTAACAAGTTGGAATTCAGACTAGGATAGAGACCACCTCATTCCTCCAAACCTCTAGAAGTCATCTGTAGCAACTATATGAAAACAGTTGTAATTTCTGTTGGTAATGGTTGTGGTTATAGTTAAGTTCCTGTGGTTTGTTGCCTATATTTCACAATAGTTTAATAGAAGGAAATGATGAAATTCAGCTAGAAGATAGTGAAAATAAAGTTGTAACTATTAAAAAGAGAGAGGCAAGTACTCCTGCATACCCCCAGCCTCCTCTTAATTTTTTTCTTATACAAATTGAAATCTATTTGAAATTTTACTTTAAACATATTTTAGTATATAGGATTTAATCTGTGGTGGTAGACTCTTATAGTGAATACTTTTATTAAACACTATGGAAAATAGAGATAAGAACAATGTAGGATTATATATGAGCTAGCTTTCCCCTCTAAATAGTTGAAAACTGAAATATATGCCTAATATTGCTACATAAGGTGTTGCAAAAAATATCCCAACCTTTGAGCAGATCTTGACCTTCAGGAAACAGTTTTTGCATGTGCTGTTGGAATCAGAAAGACACCTATAGAGGTTTCAATTTGATTAAAATTAAAGTTGTTATTTAAATTTAAAACTTGAGTCCTAGCCCTTCTAAAAATGGTGTAATTGACGTTATCAAACCTTCCTAATATATATGAGAAAAGTATTAAGATGAGAAAGTAAAAGCAATAATTTTTGGTGGTTGGGGACAGTTTGGTAGAACACTTGTTTAGCAAGCACAGTACCCTGGATTTGGGCCTTAGCTCTGAAAAAACAAGCAATCAAAACAAAAGCACCAGTAATTTCTGTATTGACACATAATACATCAAAAAAGTGTCTTGGGGTGGTCGAGATGGCTCAGTGGCCAAGTCTGATGACCTGAGTTCAATCCCTAGGATCTACTGGCTTCTGCAAGTTGACCTCTGTCCTCCACATAAACACAACCACATATATAAAATAACTAATTAAAAATGTAATAAAAAGGAAAAGGAAATCTAATAGTATCTTTAAAAGAAAAGAGATAAAAACTGAGAGCCATTGTAACAGCCTAACATTAGGTTACAGTCTAACCTGGTTATTAGGTATGCAATCATATCCTGGCAGCTGCTGGTTAGAGCCATGATACAGCTGTTTGCCCTACTGGGAAGTGTGTTGAGATGGAACAGTACTACTGACAAATAGTGGTCAGTGCTTTTTGTCCTGTAGTTAGGTTTCTTCAAAAAGCAAACAAATAAACTGGGCAGTGGTGGTGCACACCTTTGATCCTAGCACTTGGGAGCCAGAGGCAGGTGAATCTCTTGAGTTTGAAGCCAGCCTGGTCTACAGAGCAAGTTCCAAGACAACCAGGGCTAAACAGAGAAACCCTATCTCAGAAAAAAAACCTGTCTTGAAAAATCAAAACCAAAGAAAAGTACTAAAATAAAAAAAAATTTTGGAGGTAGAGGTTACCCAGGCTGTTTTTGAACTCTCAAGCTCCTCATTAGTTTAGACTGTAGACTCAGGTCACTATATCCAGCCTAAAGAAGTTATGCTCAAATGGTGTTTTAAAATTTATTTTTAAAGCTGGGCATTGGTGGCGCATGCCTTTAATCCCAGCACTCGGGAGGCAGAGGCAGAGGCAGGCGGATCTCTGTGAGTTCGAGGCTGGGCTGATCCGACAGCCTCCAAAACAATACAGAGAAACCCTGTCTTGTAAAACCAAAAAAAATAAAATAAAATTAATTTTTAATATTTTTGTTGTTGCTTTCTGAAATTAAGTTTTAAGTGTTTTTTTGAAACATGGAACACAGCCTATTTGTACAACTAAGGGAGTATAAGCAAAGTGGTTCAGCAAGTGTGATGGCACACACCTAGAACCTTAGCATGCCAGACATGGAGAGAAGTGTGTGTGTGTGTGTGTGTGTGTGTGTGTGTGTGTGTGTGTGTATGTGTGTACACACACATACATATGTAAGTTCTTGGGCTACACAGTGAATCACACCCTTCCTCACAGCTAGTTCAGCCAATTAGTATGAAAAAATTAGTATGATAGAGAAAATGGGCAGATATGGTGTTAGAGTAGTGGACATGGGCCAGGACATGGAGACTTTATATTTTAGAGGGCAGGCTTTATCATGTGGGATGTAATGAGCTTTTGAAGACTTTTAAAAACAGTATTATATTTTTTCAATATTAAGTTTATTTGTGGTATATCATGTGTTGTGTCCTAGGAGAATATAGAGATAATTAAACACTTAAGCTTTAAGTCATATAGCCATATTTAATTCAAGTTTTCTAAAACTTACAAAGTCTTTGCAGGGTTGTTTGTCTGTTCCTAAGGGTATAGTTGGGGTGACTTTGCTTTAGAGGATTGGTGGGAATCGTCATCATATTCAGGTGTAGATTGCTCCTTGGTGTCAGTCAAGAGGCAAACTCACAAAGTAGAATGCTGGCCAGACCTGTAGGAGAGCTGTTGCTAAAGAAATTGCCTACCATTAAAATGCAGTGTTTTTTATTGGGGGGCTCCTAAACAGTTTGCCATCTCTTGGAGCAAGAACGACAACAGCACAACCAGTTAAAACATACATGGCAGAAGGCCAACGACCAGTTTCTGGAATCTCAGCGTTTACTGATGAGAGACATGCAGCGAATGGAGATTGTGCTAACTTCTGAACAACTTCGACAAGTTGAAGAACTGAAGAAAAAAGATCAGGTGAATAGGTTGTTGGTTTTCTTTTTTTAAAGATTTATTTTTAATTAAATGTATGGGAGGGTTGCCCCTTGTCCAGTTGGGTGCATTTTGAAGCTGGGGGCATCAGATCCCTTGGAGTTAGGTGGTTGTGAGTTTCCTGAAATGGGGCTTAGAGCCAAACTCAGGTCCTCTGCAAGAGCAGCAGGCTTTCTGAAAATCTGAACCATCCCTCCAGTCCCATATAGATGGTTTCTTACGTATCATTGTTAATAATTGTGTTCCCTTCTATATTGTCTTGTGTATGTTGGAGGCTAACCTAACTAACTTTGGAGCAAGTGTTTTATTATCACTTATTTTTGATGTTGGGGAATCAAACCTAGGGGCCTTGTGCATGCTAGGCAGATGCTGCCCCATTGTGCAACATCTCTAACCCTTATTGATTTTATTTTTAATTATCACTTTGAGAAAACATATTAGCCAACAAGATCTGGTGGCACACACTTACAGTCCCAGCACTTGGGTCTGTAGTTGGAGATGAATGAGTATGAGAGCAGCAAGACTCAACTCAAAACAAAAAACAGAACAAAATATTTGAAGGACTTTGTCAGCTTTATAAATTATCTCATTCTGAGAAGAAACTGATTTAGAAACGACCCTCTTTGGAGACTGAAGGATGCATCAGTATGTATTTCTGAGAAAATTTTCTCAGTAGTATTATGCAGTTCTCTTAGGATTTCTGAGTTTTCAGAGCAGGCCAAATTTTTGGTGACTTCTGTTATAAAAGTGTGATAGAGTAGAAACTGAGAATAGTAGCCTACACCTCAACTCTCAGTACTTTGGAGGCTGAGGCAGGAGAATCATGATTTCAGGACAGTCTATGTTATGTAGTGAGATCATATCACACAACCAACCCCACTGACCAAACGAGGATAGGAATGGAGCCTCAGAGTGTGGAAAGCCATAGGCATTCAGAATGCTGCATTCTAGATGCTCTGTTTCTCATTATTTGAAAATTGCTTCAGTTAAATAAATATGTAACATTAATGCTTTCTCATAGAAAAAGTTGCTTGTTTAAAATACAAAGGGAGGGACTTAAGAGATGGCTCAGGCCAGGTGTTGGTGGCACACGCCTTTAATGCCAGCACTCGGAAGGCAGAGGTAGGTGGATCTCTGTGAGTTCAAGGCCATCCTGATCTACAGAGTTAGTTCCAGGACAGCCTCCAAAGAAACACAGTGAAATCCTGTCTCAAACAAACAAACAAACAAACAAACAAAAAACCCCACAAAAACAAAAAAGATGGCTCAGCTGTTAAGAGTACTTGTTCTTGCAGAGGTCTTAGGTTCAGTTCTTAGCATGCACATGGAAGTTCACAGTCATCCTCTCTTGTTCCCAGGGGATCTGATGCCCTGACCAGATATCCTCATCTGATCTCTGAGAGCATCAGGCACTCATGTGGTACACATGCATGTATGTAGGCAAAACAGTAACACAAAATAAGATGAGTTAATCTAAAAGAATTCTTGGTAATACAAATGAAATAATACCAAGTACTCAAGCAAAAAAAGAAAAAAGAAAAAAATCCTCCTTGACATCTCCTACACTGCTTTTTCAGTAGCAGTGTCATTTCTCAGTTTGGTAGTGTTTTCTAGATTAGTTCAATGTGTTTGTGACCACACACTTAGTATTGTCTTCCCCATATACCTGTATCATACTTGTAAGTATTATTTTATAACTTAATTTCCCAAAATCATTATCCTGGTGTATGTTTTTATTCCAGTTCTTTCTCACTCTTGTTAACTAGTAGCATAGCAACCATAATTGACTTAATCTTCACCTGTAGTAGATCTCTAGAACCACCTCTAATCTTGTTCCTTTGTCGTCTCAGATAGTGTCACAACCGTTATCCTTTGCTCAAATATTTCCCCAGGATAGTTGTGTAAAAGTGTTCTTGACTTTTCTAGGTATTAAAATATTTTAATTTACCATATATAACTTAGGTTAGATTTTCCCAGTTTTCTATATCATATATATATATAGGTTTTTCGAGACAGGGTTTTTCTGTATTGCTTTTGGAGGCTGCCCTGGACTCACTCTGTAGACCAGGCTGGCCTTGAACTCACAGAGCTCTGCCTGCCTCTGCCTCCCTAGTGCTGGGATTAAAGGTGTGAGGAGCCACCAACTCCCGGCTATATTAAATATTTTAAATTCATATTTAGAGATTTTTATCTCATTAAAAGTTTTTTACTTTGAAGATGATGTTGAAGCCTTTCATTAATATTTGTTGTGTTACCATTGTGCCAAGGCTTTTTTTTTTTTTTTTTTTGGTTTTTCGAGACAGGGTTTTTCTGTATTGTTTTGGAGGCTCTCCTGGAACTCGCTCTGTAGACCAGGCTGGCCTTGAACTCACAGAGATCCACCTGCCTCTGCCTCCCAAGTGCTGGGATTAAAGGCGTGGGCCCGGCTTGTGCCAAGGCTTTATAAAGCTTTATCTCAAGGTTTCTCAGCAAATAAAAACTCTCTGTGAGGAGGCATTACATAGCCATCCTAGGGTTGTAGCTCAGGAAGCAGGCAGAGGAGGTGATGGTAATGCCCAAGTTGGAGCAGTTCATTCCAGAGTTGAGTTACATAATCACCTACCTTTTTGTTCCTGGCCTTCGCTTTTCATGTACACGCCTACTTGTCAGTCTTGTCAGCCTTCTGTGTTTTATAAATGCTTCATTTCCCCCTGGAGCCCTTCCTTAGTAAACATCTTACTGTCTTTTAAGATTCAACTCTAGCAATTACATCCTTTGGGTCACCTTTACTGGCTCCCTTAAATGAAACCAGCCTGTGATTTTTTCCTCCTGCAGACTTCTGTTTGCTCCTCCTCAGAAAAGGACTCGAATCATCCTTTTGTATACGTCTCCCTTATCTTTCCCCTCTCCTCTCTACCTTCATATTCTCTGTCTCCTTCTCCCCTCTCCCTCCCCCCTTTTAGTTTTATGAATAGAGTTTCAGTATGTAACCCAACCTGGCTTCGAATTTGTGCCTCTTACCTCAGCCTCCAGATTGCTGGAATTACCAGTATGTAGTGCTAATGGTTGTACCTGCTTTGAATGGAGTATGATGTCAGACTAACTTCTTGTTTTCTGTAGTGAGGTGGAATTGTTCTATGTAGTTTTCCTGTTATGGATTATCTGGATCAAGGAGTTGCTTTTCTTTTGTTTGCCTTACTTGCGTAGTGTGCTTTTTTAAAAGTTGCTTCCTGATTTTCTTGTGCTTACAGTAATAAAATGGTGTGGTCCCTAATACTGATTACAGAACAAATAATCTTGTGTCTAATTTTCTGTTCTCATAATGATCTCTGATCTTAACTTGTTTTGAGTGGTTGAAGAACTGTATGACTCACTCTTACATATAGATTATCTGGGTAACTGAATAATGCTTTTTCTTCCTAACTTTTAGGAGGAAGAGGAACAACAAAGGCTTAGTAAGAGGAAAGATAACAAAAAAACAGATACTGAAGAAGAAGTAAAAATACCAGTAGTATGTGCTTTAACTCAAGAAGAATCTTCAACACCATTATCAAATGAAGAGGTATGGTGAATCTATGCTGGGTGGGAGAGGCTGAGGTGAGAGACTTTCTGGAGCCTAAAACTCAAAGCATTTCAAAAAGTTTATAATGTCACAATTTTTAGGTTTTTTTTTTTGTCAGTTACCTTGTATGTTAGTGAGAGTATCTATTGCTGTGATTAAACACCATGACCAAAAGCAACTTGGAGAGAAAAGTTTTTAGTTTACAATTCTCAGGTCACACTCCATCATGGAGGAAAGTCAGAACAGGAAAGTCAGGAACCAGGAGTCAGATACTCATGCAGAGACCATGGAAAATTGCAGTTCCTGGCTTGAATCCCAGGACCACCTGTCGAGGGCTGACAGCCCACAATGGATTGGGCTCTTGCACATCAATTGATCCATAAATACTCTAGTGGGAGGTTTTTGTTTTTTTTTTTTTAATCGAGGGTCCCTCTTCCCAAGTGAATCTAGCTTGTGTCAACTTCAGAAAAACTAGCCAGGAGACCTTGTTTATGGGCAAAGGATATAGGTGAGAAAGAAATAAAACAGCAACTTTGTTTTAGTTGCCCTTGTAACATTGTTGTAACACTATTTGAAAACATACTGAAATTTTAGTCACCATTTAATTCCTTTACTGGTATTTCCAAAATGTCATGCAATAGAACAAGTCTTTAAATGAAAACGCCTTTATTGTTATTTTTGTTGTTATTATTATTATTATTATTATTTTGGTTTTTTGAGGCAGGTTTCTCTGGGTAACCCTGTCTGTTCTAGAACTCATTCTGTAGATCGGGCTGGCCTCAAACTCAGCATGATCCACCTGATTCTGCCTCCTGAGTGCTGGGATTAAAGGTGTGCACCACCATTGCCCAGATAAAGGTTATTATAGAATAACAGATTTACGCACAGGAAAAAGGATAAGACACATTCAAGTGTGGTGGTGTGTGATATTTCACTCTTTTGGATTTTTGAGGGGCCCACCACCCAGTTCCCAAATACACACAGAGGCTTATTCTTACTTATTTATGCCCAGTCATAGCTTGACTTGTTGCTAGCCAGCTTTTCCCTCGGGGCTTTTATCTTTCTTACTTCTATATATCTTACTTATCATCTTACTCCATGGCTGGCTAGGTGTCTGAGTGGCTGGCCCCTGACATCTTCCTCTCCTTGTTCTCTCATAGCTCTTTCTTCCTCGTTTCTCCTATTTATACTCTGTCTGCCAGCCTTGCCTATCCTTGCTCCTGCCTCACTATTGGCCTTTCAGCTCCTATTAGGATCATTAGGTGTTTCAGACAGGCAGAGAATCACAGCTTCACAGAGGTAAACAGATGCAACATAAACAAAAGTAACATTCCTTAAAATAATATTCCCCAACAGTGTGGGCTTTGCCTGATGTCTTTTTTTTTTTTTTTTTTTGGTTTTTATGAGACAGGGTTTCTCTGTATTGCTTTGGAGGGTGTCGGTCCAGCCTGGCCTGGAACTCATAGAGATCCGCCTGCCTCTGCCTCCCGGGTGCTGGGATTAAAGGCGTGAGCTACCACCGCCCGGCGCCTGATGTCTTTTTAAAAAGAGATTTTGGGGTGTGTGTGTGTGTGTGTGTACATATATACTATATATCTGTACATATTATATTCACATATATACATGTGTACTTATAGGTGTTTTGCCTGCTTCTATGTTCATGCACCATGTGCATGTAGTGCTCACAGAGGCCAAAAGAGGGCCTCAGTTTCCTGGGACTGGAATTGTGTATGGTTGAGATATCCCAATGGGTGCTGGGAATCAAACACACATGGGAGAGCAGCCAGTGCTCTTGACTATGTAGCCATCTCTCTAGCCCCTGTTGTCTGTTTTCAATGTGAATTATACTCATTGCTGGGAGGATGACAGGGCCTTGCTATGTAGCTCAGGCTGACCTTGCCTTCAAGATTACCCCTTCCTCAGCTTTCCTGAACATTGGGATTGATAATAGAAGCTTGCCACTTGATCAGCTCCAGTATTAGGGCTTAAGTTCTGAAAATAGAAGGTAAAAGGTTGACAGATTGCATTGAAGCTTCGAGGAAGAGTGCTAATATTGGGAAGGGGAAGAACAGAGGGGCCCAGGGATGCAGTATGTCAGATGTTGTGTTTGTGGTTTGTGATCTTACACCTACAGCATGGTGAGGGCATCTGCATTGATTTTCCTGCCTTTGACTTCTCAGACATAATCTACTGTACCCTCAGCATTACTGTCAAGTCTCTTCCTTTACTGTGATTGCTGCTAGACCACTCTGGCATGCAAAATCAACACTGACTACCATAACCTACATCATTTAGTGGAAATTCTTTACATAGGCTGTTGAAACCATTTCCAAGAATTTTCTTTCTAATTTTAAACTTTTTAAAATTTATTTTGACAGGGCTTCATTCAAAATCACATATTTAACTGTTTTTCCTTAGGAAACAAAATCCATCTTTGGGTTCCTATCTCATTAGCAGAACATTAGACACACACACACACACACACTAATTTTTAAAATTGAGTGTGTGTGTGCATACATATGTGTGGGTTTGTGAGCTTATACATCTGCTTGCAGGTACCCATAGAGTCTAGAAGAGGTCATCACATTCCCTGAAGCTAGAGTTTTCAAGTGGTTGTGAGCTTTCTGACATGGATACTGGGAACAAAACTCAGGTCTTTTACAAGAGCAGCAAGTGTGTTAACCACTGGGCCATCTTTTTAACCCCAAGAAGTATTTTCTTATATTTTTGGTTGTGAGCCTAGCCTTTAACGGCTGAGCCATCTCTCCAGCCCGCTGAGCCATCTCTCCAGCCCAAGTATTTTCTTTAAAAAAAACAAGCAAACATTTATTTTAGTACATGGAGTGGGGTGGGGTGGGGGACACTCAGCATGCATGTGGAGGTCAGGACTGCTTTTTCCTCTCATCTGGTGGGACCTGGGAATCAAACTTAGGTCTCTGGGCTTGGCAGCAAGTGCCTTTACCCACTGACCGATCCCTGTGGACCAGAAAGAGTATCCTAGTAGCCATATTGGTCTTTCCCTTGTTCCAAACTTTCCACCTCATATGTTGGTTCCTTCATCTGGAATGCTTGCCTTCCTTTATCTGACTATTAAAATTCTGCTTCTCATTCTTCACAGCTCATGCTGATGCTCCCTCTTTAGTAAAGGAAATACTTCTGTACCTAGTGCCTTTGGGACCAAAGTTAAGGACCCTCCTTTCCTAGTTGAATGGCCCTTCTAGCTTTACCCCTTGTTCTTACTTCATTCTGTTAGACCTGGCTGCTTGTCGTCCATACTTGTGTTGTTTATGCCATCCTTGTTGCTTATGATTTCATACAAGGGTCATAGCTACAGCTCAGTAGTAGAGTGCTTGCTTAACATGTATAAGGCCCTAGTTTGATCTCCAGCATCGGAAAGGTGTGTGTGGGGGTGTTGGTCAGACACACTTTCCTAACTTTCACCTCCCTTCCCAGTTGGTGAACAGTTGTAGTTAAGTTGGATACATTTTCCTAGTAGGTGTCTTCTTTCTGTTTAGTTTGCAGATTTACTCTGAGTCATGTGTAGTACAGTTCCTGGTGGCATATATTTTCATCTTCATTGATAGCTTGATGTTAGAACAGATTTTTAAAAAATTCTAATGGACACTGAAAAATATGCTGTTATTTTTTTACATTTTTTTTTTGTTTGCTTTGGAGCACACACTAAGGACCAATTGGCGATTTTGCTCTGCATTTTCCTAATACTGCATTTCCCAGAAGAGGTTACTTTTTGTTCAGCCAGATATTACATGACATTTGCATCATGCAGTAATCTATCCAGAAATGATTGGAAAACAGAAAAGGAGAATTTGTGATTGGTAAAGAAGTACTTCTGTTACTTTTGCTTCTGTTTCTAACAACTTTCTCATATGGTGTGCATCGTTTTCTGGTCTTTAAAATACATTTTTGACTTTCTGCTGGTGGCTGCAATGCCATGGTAGAATGTTGACCAGCACGTATGAGGCCCTGGGTTTGGTTCTTGGTAGTAGCAACTCACCTTCACCATGTGTATGCATGTTTCCAACTTTCAGATCTCATAGTTCGCATTTTCAGAATCATGATAATTTAATTTGGAATGATAAATTAAAATTAATATGGAATGCTTTAGAGATTTAGATTTATTGCTAAGGACATTTAATATTTTTGAACCCTCCTATGTCATCTTTATTTTGGTACTTAGAGTATGCTTTTTCACTGAGTATTTCTGAAGTGCAGGAAGGGCCATACAATAAAAATAGTTGTTTTGACCACCCAGAGAAAACTATCTGTAATGTTTTGTCATGTGTCATTCTCCTTCTTCCTATTTACTTTCCCAAACATATTATAAGTATGTTCCGATTTGTTTTGTTTGTTTGCTTTGCTTTATTTTGAGGCAGACCTATAAAGCCTTGACTGGTCTTGAGCGTCTGCGCTTTCTGACTCTGTATTCTATGTGCTGGGATTATAGCCATGTGACATCATGCCTGTCTGATGCTTTGCAAACAGACTCAACATGTGACTACATGCTTATGAATGCTCCTCCTTGCTTAAATCTATTTTAAGGTTTTGACACCCTGAAAAAATTTAAATGTATTTAATAGAATTTTAATATTTAAATGTACCATAATCCCTTTGGCCATTTTCCTACTACTTTGTCGATAGGTTTGAATTTATGAGGTGCCTGACAGCAAGCATGAAGAGGCTTTAGAACAATTTGCTATTACACTGTTTTGTCTTTTTTCCCTCAGGCCCAGTATGTGTTAAACAAGTGTTATACCACTGATAGGCATTCAGTAGGTACAAAGAGAAAATCAGGACTGGCCAGTTTGAATGATTCTGGCAGCCATATGAACTTGCTTTAGCTGTTTGGAACCTACCTGTTCCTGGGTGATTTGGGGCAGGGGAAATAATGGCTTGGATAAAGGAATGGTTGGGAGTATGAATTTGAGATTTTCCAGTTTACATGTGAAGATTGTTCCCAAGCAGGCAATAGTGCTATGATGCATAGTCTCTGCCTATAGAATATAAGCATGACTAATACACCACTTATCAACTTGGTTATTTTTTGCTGCTATAAATGTTTTTTTTAAATAATAATGTGGCCGGGAGGTGGTAGCGCACGCCTTTAATCCCAGCACTCGGGAGGCAGAGGCAGGCGGATCTCTGTGAGTTCGAGGCCACGCTGGACTGACAGCCTCCAAAACAATACAGAGAAACCCTGTCTCGTAAAACCAAAAATAAAGAAAAAAAATAATTGATGCTAATATATATAAAATTTTCCTTTTACAAAAATTACTGTAATGTATCTTATGATTTAAGTCCTTAGGAAAAGAGCAGCTAAGTTTAAGGGCATTAGAAGATTTTAAGATAATGTAAAATATTGTAGAATCATATATTAAAAGACCACAGACTAGTCTTTTGTTTTGTGTTTATTATTTATCTGGGTGAGACCATATGTGTCATGGCACATGTGTGGATCTAAGAGGCAACTTCTGAAATTGGGGTCTCTTCTACCATGTGGTTTCAGGTAAAGCTCAAATCATCAAACCTAGTGGCAAATGCCTATAAAAGCTGAACCATCTTGGTGGCTTAGGAACAGTTTTTAGTTCCCTTAGCTGTTTGTATTTTTCATGCTATTGCTAAGGTGGTAGACTAGTACTTCTTTAAGTGGCCCTCACAACTGTTTGCTCTATTCCCCACTGTCATCATGTCACTACAATATGTGTGATCACAGTAGTTTATTTTTTAAGTTAAATTTATTATATTATTTTTGTATATGGGTGTTTTGCCTTCATGTATGTATGTATACCATGTGTATGAAGTGTTGGATTCCTCTGGGAGTTTCAGTATGTTTGTGAGCCAGCATGTGAGTGCTGATCTAATTTTGTTGTTATTTGGGACATTTGCCATCATTAATTAAGTTAGGTTTGTTTTCCCAGCTTTTTGAATTTCAGATGAGTGAAAATATTTGAAAGAAATAGAGAAATTAGCAAAAAGTAATCAACTTTTCATTATATCAGATAATAGTTTTTTATGGATTTTTTGTTTGTTTGTTTTGTTTTTCGAGACAAGGTTTCTCTGTGGCTTTGGAGGCTGTCCTGGAACTAGCTTTCATAGACCAGGCTGGTCTCAAACTCACAGAGATCCACCTGCCTCTGCCTCCCGAGTGCTGGGATTAAAGGTGTGCGTCACCAACGCCCGGCTCAGATAATAGTTTTAAAACGCTTGAAAATAAAAACCAATGAAGTCAGCTGGTGCATTCCCCAGTCTCCTCTAGTTGGTCCATAAACGGATATTTAAAACAAATAGTATGTCTAACATGGTGGCACAGTGGCTTTAATCATGGCACTTGGAAGGCAGGGTTATACATAATGAGACCCTGTCTTAAAAAGCAGGGGTATGACATTGTATAAGGAGCTATTGGGACTGGAAAGATGGCTTAGCAGTTGAGAGCACTAGCTGCTCTTCTAGAGGACCCATGTTCAAATCTCAGCACCCACCAGCAGCTCACAACTATTTTACAACTCCAACTCCAGGGGATCTGACACCCTAACACGTACATGGTATACAAAACACCAATACACATAAAATTTAAATAATTAAAAAAATGGTTGTCATTTTAATCTTTTGGGGGGAGGGGAGCTTTCTGAGACAGGGTTTCTTTGTGTACTAATCCTAGCTGTCCTGAAACTTGCTTTGTAAATCAGACTGGCCTTGAACTCAAAGAGATCTTCTTGCTTCTGAGTGCTGGGGTTAAAGGCATGCACCATTACATCCAACTGTCATTTTAATATTTTGAAGAAGAATTTATTTTATGTATGTGTGCCTGAATAAAGCACATGTACCACATGTGTGCAGGTGCCTGCATAGGTCAGCAGATGGCATTAAATTTTCTGGAACTGGAGTTAGAAGTGGTTGTGAGTCATTCATAGAGGTGATGGGATCCAAACCTGGGTCCTGTGCAGGAGTAGACAGTATTCTTAACCACTGAGCCCCACCTCTTCAGCCTAAGAGTAGTCATTTTAATTGAATATAATTTTCAAAAAACTTAATACATTTCTTTGTTGTTATTCAACTTTTGACATTTAGTCTATGTGTCTACTGGCTGGTCTGCCTGGCTTCTGGCCCTGGGAGTCTCCCTCATTCTCTCTTTTCTTCTCTTGTTCTTTTCTTCTCTCTTGAGCCCAGATTTCTGCTTCTATTTATTCTCTCTGCCTGCCAGCCCCACCTATCCTTTCTCTGCCTACCTATTGGCTGTTCAGCTCTTCACTAGACTAATCAGGTGCCTTAGGCAGACAAGGTGAAACAAATGCAACATATCTTTACATAATTAAACAAATGCAGCATAAACAAAAGGAACACATTTTTGCCTAGTTAATTAATATTTCTCAACACAGTTGTTTCTTCTGGAGGTCTCAGAACATGGAGTTCACCTCTGTCTTATATCGTTATAATAGTATTGTAAGAACCTGTTTACTTGCTTAACCTCTCAAGACACTGTACATATCTTAAATTAGAAGTTGTATTTTTTTATGCATCTAACCTGTGCTTGAGTAGTGCGCAACATACAGAAGAGATTTATTTGATAAATGGCTGTTCAGTGATTATGTCTAGGCAGCAGAATTATGATTATTATGTGTAATATGTGGCGAAATATGTATAGTACATGTTAGCTTTTCTCTTTTGGGGTTCAGAGAATTATCTAACTTGAAAATATGTTTTTACATTTCAGGAGCATTTAGACAGCACCCACGGGTCAGTTCATTCCTTAGATGCAGACTTGCTGTTACCATCTGGAGATCCATTCAGTAAATCAGACAGTGATATGTTTAAAGATGGACTCCGGAGAGCTCAGTCTACAGACAGCTTAGGAACCTCAAGCTCATTGCAATCAAAAGCATTAGGCTATAACTACAAAGCAAAGTCTGCTGGAAACTTGGATGAATCGGACTTTGGACCACTGGTTGGAGCAGATTCTGTGTCTGAGAACTTTGATACTGTGTCCCTTGGGTCACTGCAGATGCCAAGTGGATTTATGTTAACCAAAGATCAAGAAAGAGCAATTAAGGCAATGACACCCGAACAGGAGGAGACAGCATCCCTCCTCTCCAGCGTCACCCAGGGTATGGAGAGTGCATATGTATCTCCCAGTGGTTACCGCTTAGTGAGTGAGACTGAATGGAATCTCCTGCAGAAAGAGGTGAGTTATTCTGACCTTGTTTCTTTTGTTCTCTTTTTGTTTTGAGACAGAGTTTCATGTAGCCTAAGCTAGCCTCCAACATACTATTTGGTGAAGGTGACCTTGAAACTCAGAGGATGACTCTTGATCTCCTACCTGCCCTCTCCAGTGCTGGGATTATGGGTGTGTGCCACCACATCTTGTTCTCTCGAACCCTGGTATTCATTATGGAGCCAGTAGACAGTTCCTGCAGCCAGTGCAGGCATGTGCTGCTAGCAAGTATGTGTTAGCACATACTCACCCCTTGTCAAATCTGATTTGTCTCTTCTACATGACAATCACAGAAAGCTGGTTACCCAGCGGTGTTAATAAACATCATAGGTAGAGCAGTCTGAATTTGGGCTTTCAGCTTACTGCAGCTGAGTATATGCTGTGATTCACTTACTCATTTTTCCTTTAATTCTAAAATACAAAAGTGGCTAAGCACCTGATACAGAGAGTGGGTTTAAGGAGGATTGGAAACATGGGAGAGAGAGAGAGAGAAAAAAAGGCAGCCTAAGTGAAGGGCGCAATTTTCCTTAAAGTATTTTCAAACTTAAAAGATTAGGTGTTAAGAATGTAAGTTGTGCCAGGTGTTGGTGGCACACGCCTTTAATCCCAGCACTTGGGTAGCAAAGACAGGAGGATCTCTGTGAGTTTAAGGCCAGCCTGGTCTACAGAGTGAGTTCCAGGACAGCCATGGCTACACAGAAAAACGCTGTCTGGGGAAAAAACAATGTAAGTTGTAATTGTACACTGCTTTACAGACTTCCATGCCTTTTCACATACCTCGTCTCTTTGAGCTTTCTAATTATAAATGAGACTATCATGTTGTAACTGTCCCCAGTTACAGATGAAGAAACTGGCTCAGAAAGATCAAGTAAAATCTGGGTTAGAATCTAGTTTTTCTGACATTAGTGCTTTCCCTTATCAGGGCTACTTCTCTTTAAAGGAGCACTCAGTGAGTGAGTGGAGCAGCCTGACAAACCTAAACAGACTGCTGTCCTAGAGCTACGCAGGACATGTAAAGAACATGTCACTTACTAGTGTCATACAGTTTGTCACTGGAGCTGGTGATAGGGAACTGGCATTGCCTTCCTTCTCTTCTCCCCATTAGTTTAATAGCATTGAGTGCATGGTATAGCACTTTTTGCTTGCTTTGTGTGTTCTTCAAATGTGGTGTTTTGTGGCCCGTGGTGCTAAATTGTGTCCTTTGTTTTCCTACAATACTTGAATTGGAGGTTATGACTATTGGAATCTGACTCTGTATTGTAATTTCCTCCTGTAAATCTGAATTGTTTACTTTGTGCTATTCACTGAGTAACACTGGTAAGAATGTGGATATGTTCCTTGAGTATGAGACATAGAGTTTTTTTGTTCTACCTGATAAGTGGTTAATTTTGGTGCCCTTCAGGTACATAATGCTGGAAATAAGCTTGGTAGACGTTGTGATATGTGTTCCAATTATGAAAAACAGTTACAAGGAATTCAGATTCAGGAAGCTGAAACAAGAGACCAGGTGAGTTTCATTAGAGGGATAGAATTGTCCTTCCTTCCTTCCTTCCTTCCTTCCTTCCTTCCTTCCTTCCTTCCTTCCTTCTTTCTTTCTTTCTTTCTTTCTTTCTTTCTTTCTTTCTTTCTTTTTCCTGTCTGCTTTATGAAGTATATCTATCCAGTTATGGACTAATCTAGCATGTACAGTAGCCGCTGATTTCTAGTGAGAACCAAGTAGGACTCTGGGTATACATGCTTCATTAGCATGCCAACACCATACCAGCCAACTCAGCTCTCAGAGGTACTAACAGCACCTTAGCTCCTTTCTCTGCACCCTATCGCCCAGAGCCCCAACACCTAAACTTGATGCTGGCCTGATTAAACCCTCACAGTACCTTATGGTTCATAGATTAGGGAGATAAGCTTTACTGTGGCCTCTGACAGAGTAAAAGCTAGCTGGACTCTTTGCTTACTACCTATTTGTTGTAAATTTGTTGATTTGATTAGTGGTAATCCACAGGGCACAGAAGTTAAGCTTCTGCAGGTTTGGACTGCTGAACTTGAGGTTAAAGTTCTTTTCCAAATACAGAGTAGAATAGTATGACTTTGGTAACACTTACGAAATAATATAGAATTTAACAAGAGTAAGCCTTGTGAAAACATGTCAGGAAAGGTAGTATTTTTCTTTGGTTGTTATGAAGATTATTTATTGCCTTTGCCATCAGGACTTGAAGGAGGTTAGAATGATGATCTTGCATTTTCAAGTGTCACTAGATTCGGTTCCTTGACTATAGTTTTTTTTTTTTAATAGTTTACAGGTGAAATTTTCAAGCTACTTATAAAACTAAGATAATATATTGGCCTCTGATAGCCTTACATGGATAAGGGCTGTCTTGGATTCCTTAGTTATTTGTGTAGACATATATTGATGCTTCTTGTGTGCCTGGTGTTTTGCTGGATTCTAGCAATTCAGATACAGCTAAAAGATGGTTTTGATCCGTAAGGCCAGCATTATAAACCAAAACATAAATTCAATCTAGCTCATTCCTAGAGATGAACATCTATCTAGATTAGAGGAGGGCGTGCAGCTTAACCATAAGCTCAGCAAAGGCAGCACTTGTGTGTTTGCTTCAGAGCCCGTTTTCAAATTAGGAGAACTAGGTAAGAAGGTATATTCAAGTAGGGGAAATGTACAATCATGAGAGAGAATATGTTCCAGGACACATGGCTGGTATAGAAGTTTATAAACTAGTGGGAGAAGGAGCTGCAGAGGAAGGTTAGGTGAGACCAGTGAGGAGAGGTGATAATCAGATTAAGGTTGAGCCTGGCAACTTGGGAGGCATTATTGCTTTTAAGTAGGAAAATCGTTGTGATTTCACTTTGTAAAATGTATAGGGTCCATGTGAATTGACAATCAGAGACAGGGGATAGAGTAGACAGGGAAGCCAATTCTAGATCCTAGAGGGCCTAGCAGAGAAGAGATTTTCAAATGAGATTATGTATGTGAAAAGCTGTTGTGAACTGTAAAGCACAATGTAGTTCTTGAGGTCATCCATTTCTTTCTGAATTGACAAGTTTATGGTACTTCTTAAAATTTTTTTTGTTATTTTTAATTTACAAAAAAGTTGTGGACTGTGGGTGTAGCACAGTTGTAGAGCTCTTGCCTAGCGTGCATGAGGCCCTGGAATTAACTCGGTAGTGCCAGTGTAAACAACAGCAGCAAAAACCCAACTGCTTCTTGTTGACTTTTTAAATTGTATAGGTGAAAAAACTGCAGGTCATGCTAAGGCAAGCTAATGACCAGCTGGAGAAGACAATGAAAGAGAAACAGGAACTAGAGGACTTTATCAAGCAGAGCACCGAAGACTCAAGCCACCAGGTGAGTGATGCAGGAGAGATGACCAGCTTGCTAAAATTACATTTAAAATTCAAAAAGTATAGTTAATTTATTTCTTTTGCTTTGAAGATTTGGCAGTTTTATTTTCTCTTAAGATAAAAAGTGTTTACTGATCTTTCTGTGCTGTTTTTAAAAAGGATTTACTTGTTTTAAATGTGTATGAATGTTTTGCCTGCATGTATGTATGTGTACCACATGCATGTTTGGTTCCCTGGAAGGTCAGGAGAAGGGGTTAGATCCCCTGGAATTAGAGTTATATGGATAGTTGTGAGCCATTATGCATGTGCTGGGAACCAAACCCAGGTCCTCTGCAAGAACAAGTTTCTTAACTGCTGAGCTATCTCTCCATCATCTTCTTATCTATTATTCAGAGTTTTTCTTCTGAAATAATCACTTAATGTATTTAATGCATTTCTAAGTGTTCTGAGGACTCGGATTCTCCTTTTTTGTGTTTCCTTGTTTTCCTTGCTGCATAAGAATTTCATGAACATGAACTTAAGAATTGCTGGCTGGGAATGTAGCTCAGTTGGTAGAGTGCTTATCTAGTAGCATTGGCTTTGATCCCTAGCACTATATAAACTGGGGGGTTATGGCACATACCTCTTCTATCATCAGTTGGGAGGTAGGGACAAGAAGGTTAGAAGTTCAAGGCCATCCTTAGTTATGGAATTGGAGGCTAGTCTGGCTGTTTGAGACCTTGTCTCAAAAACCAAAATAGGACTGTCAAAATGCCTCAGTGTGTAAAGGTGTTTACCACTAAGCTTGAGTTCAGTCCCTGGTTCCCACTACCACCATTACTATTGCTTATCATTATTATTAATTTTTATTATTTTTATTACTTTATTATTATTATTGAGACAGGGTTTCTCTACATAATCTTGGCTGTCCTGGAACTCATTATGTAAAGCAGGCTGGCCTTCCATTCACAGAGATCTACCTGGTTCTACCTCCAAAATGATGGCATTAAAGGCATACGTTACCATGCCTGGCAAAAATAGTATCTAGCTATACCACTATTTATCCAAACAACAGTCGAGAGACATTTAGGTGTTTCTAGATTTTGACAATGGTGAATTTTCTATAAAGATTCTTGTACATGTCTGTTGGTGGATACGTGGACTGACTTCTCTTGAGCACAGGTAGAAACAGTGAGAGAGATTGGAAGGTTGTTTTATAGGCTAGCCCTTCAGCTCTTCTAGCTATTTCTGCTGACCATTACTTGTTCAAATGGTATGCTTCGTGCTTCTATATATCTACTTTATATTCTCTCTCTCTCTCTCTCTCTCTCTCTCTCTCTCTCTCTCTCTCTCTCTCTCTCTCTCTCTCTCTCCCTCCTTTTCCCTCTCCTCCCCCTTCCCTCCTCCCCTCTTGTTCTCCTTCTCTCCTCTTCTCTTCTCCTTCCTTTGTTTTGTTTTTCCAGACAAGGTTTCTCTGTGTAACAGCCCTAGCTGTCCTGGAACTCACTTTGTAGAACCAGCTGTCATTTAAGCCGTTGAATTAAGTTGATTCAGTAGCTAATAGCTCATGTATCTGGACCTTGAAGACCTATATCTATTGTCTGTTTTTTTTTTTAAAGCCATTCCCTTGTGTATTAGTGTTAAATGCTGTATGTTCTATTAAAACGAATAATGAATGGACTGGGGCTGGAGATGTAGCTAAGTGGGTAGAGTGCTTGATTAGCATGCAGGAGGTCCTCAGCTCATTCCTCAGTACCACAGGTGTAATTCCAGCACTTGGGTGGTTGAGACAAGATCAGAAGTGCAAGGGCATTTCCTTATGAGAGGCAGATAACTAGTGATACTTACAGTCCTGCATCATTTTATGCAGTAACAGGAACTGAGATTGTATAAAATTATGATGGTTAGATTATTTAAAAGTCTTCATTTCCCCCAAGAAAATCTTGAGGATCTTGTTTACTGGGTATTTTCTTTGATTTCTTACTTTTGCCACCCTATCTGGCTCTCAGATGCCCTGCTGCTGTCAGGGTCACAGTTGTTTCTTTTAGAATTGTGCTTTTGGAGAGCTGTTTCAAACAGTGTCCCACACTCTGTATTAATTGTCCAGTGCCTTCAAAGAGATACAGTTTTGGGGTTGGAGAGATGGGTCCAGAAGTTAAGAACACATAGTGCTCTTGTAGAGGATCTAAATTCAGTTCCCAGCATCCACTAACAGTTGCCTCTAACTCCATCTCCAAGAGAGCCAATGCTCTCTTTTGGCCTTTGCAGAAACCTAAACTCAGATATACACATATACACATAACTAAAAATACAACTAAAATCTTTTGAAAGGATACATTTTATGTTTTTATACAGCCTAATTGTCAATAGTTTTGTTTATTAGAAATAAAATTTTTTTTTGTTTTTATGTTTTGAGACAGGGTTTCTCTGTGTAGCTTTGGAGACTGTCTTGGCACTTGCTCTGTAGACCAGACAGGCCTTGAACTCAGAGAGATCCGTCTATCTTTGCCTCCCAAAGGCTGGGATTAAAGGCATGGGCCACCACTGCCCACTTAGAAACAAAATTGTAACACTCATTTTTAAAATTTCTACACAATTATTTCTATTAGTTTTTGTGTGTGAATGATCAGTTTTCAGTAATTCTTTCACCAGGAATATTAACACTAATTCAAAACAGTTGAGAATTAAGTGATATTAATCACTCTTCAGTACCTACCTTAGAGGATTACAACCAACTCAGAAAGGTGTAGTGTCTCCTCTCTTTTTTTCTCCTTCCTTCATTTTAAAGAAGTATATTTATTTATTTATGTGTACACATATATACATGCATAGCATGTATGGTCATGGCACTTGTGTGGAGATCAGAGGACAACTTGGAGTAGTCAGTTCTTTTTTCCACTATATGGATTATGAGGAGCAAACTCAGGTCATCAGGCGTAGCAACAAGTGCCTTTATCTGTTGTGCACTTGCTTCGGCCCCAGGCTTCTAGTTTTGTTGTTGTTGTTGTTGGTTTTTTTTTTTTTGTTTTTTGTTTTTTTTTTTTTTTGAGACAGGGTTTTTCTGTATTGTTTTGGAGGCTGTCCTGGAACTTGCTCTGTAGTCTAGGCTGGCCTCAAACTCACAGAGATCTGCCTGTCTCTGCCTCCCGAGTGCTGGGATTAAAGGCATGCGCCACCAACTCCTGGCAATTTTTAAAATTTTTGTAAGCTTCTTAAAACATATATCCTTAACTAGATCATGTGGGTTCTCATCATTCTTAGAACCAGTTACTAGAGCTTGTTGATATGAGTCAGCATGTAACTTAAGCTTTGTTAATGCCCTGGTGTACACAAAAGTCTTGCCTTATAGCAAGTGCACACATTGGTTAGATGAAAGATGCTTGGTTCATGGATTTGTTGTGGAATAATGGGATGCAGGGTTAGCCTCAGATAACCAGTTTGTAAGTGTGTGTTTTCATATGTGCATCTTCTCTTCAGATATCTGCACTTGTCCTAAGAGCTCAAGCCTCTGAGGTCTTACTTGAAGAGTTACAGCAGAGCTTTTCTCAAGCGAAGAGGGATGTTCAGGAACAGATGGTAAGTCAGCATTTGAAATACATGTCATATACGACCTTTATTCCTGTTTTTTCTTTCTCAGGATTAGCTTTAATATGACTTTTAACCCTGCTCAAAGTAGCTAGTGTTATATACTCCATTTGTGATGGTAAAATACTCTACAGACGTCTCCTTCCTTGTAAGCAGAGCTCCTCATCCTGCCCCATTTTATCTTTACCTTTTCTGACTTGGGAAACCTAAACAGAGTAAACTATGATAGATCAGTATTTAATTTTCAGTTTAAAATAAAAGCTAACAGAGTAAAGATGATTGTCATCTCCAGCTCACACAGCTTTTGAGTACTTATATGTTTTTTTTCTGGGCAGTTTATTTATTTAGAATGTTTGTTGTAGCTCTGGAGACCTTTTAGGAGGCCATTAGAGGTGAGGGATGGAAGCAGAGCTTCGTGAGCAGTGGCCACCAGGAATCTTTGTGGAGTGGTTCTGAGTTTGACTGTATTTGTTTTGTTGGACTGTGTATCTGATGGCCTGGGTCAGTTATGGCAGAACTGTTCTTTTGAGGATGACTGCAAAGCTTTCATTTACCCTGTGCTTTTACAGGGACCACGGTACTAAATATTAGAAGGCTAAAGGTGGGATGGTCTTAATGTATTTTTTGATTGGAATTCAACAGTGCCTGAATGGTAACTCAGCCAGTCCTTGGACCCTATATCTGGTTTGTGGGAACCCTCAGATCTTAGTTATAGATAAAGAGTTCACATTGTTTTTCTAAACGGAGAAGACAAAATCATAATTGTTAAATTCTGTCAAAGCTTCCAGGAGTTATTTCTCACATATTTTTTTCCTTTTTATCTTTTTTTTTTTTTTTTTTGGTTTTTTTTTACGAGACAGGGTTTCTCTGTATTGTTTCGGAGGCTATTGGTCCAGCCCGGCCTCGAACTCACAGAGATCCGCCTGCCTCTGCCTCCCGAGTGCTGGGATTAAAGGCGTGCGCCACCACCGCCCGGCTCCTTTTTATCTTTTAATGCCCATTTGTCTCTGCAGATGCTGTGGAAGTTGATTCCATTAAAAATAGTATGTATTAGGTGACATTGCAGAATTGTTGGGATTCAGGCTGAAGTCCTTTGAACACTTAGTTTTCTCAAAATTACCATGAATGATTCTTATGTTGTGAAAGAGGAACTCAGTGCCTAAGCCTCTGCAGAGTGGCTGTGATAGGGACTGGGCATCTTAACATTTTCCCCCTTTGCATTTTGAGAAGTTTCACACTTGCAGAGAAGTTTGTGGAATCAAATCAGTTTTGAAAGACTGGCAGCACTTCAGGTGAGAGAGCTTGCTAGGTAGGCCTGACCCACAGTGGAAGGAGAGAGCCAGACATTGTCCTCTGACCTCCATACACATGCCATGGCATATATGTGTACGCTCACACACATCATAGACACCACAATATTGCTTAAGATTATTGCTTCAGTTCGGTGGTTGCTAACATTTTGCTACATTAGTCTCTTTCTGTCTCACTATGCATATAGGTATATTATGTGCATACTGTATGTCTGATTTGTGATGAACTATTGGGAATTAAGGTGTAGACACTGATGCTCCTAAATATTTCAGCATGTATTTCCTAGGAATAAAGATGTCCTGTGTGACTAGAATATTCTTTTTATATCCTTAAATTAACCAGTCATCCCTAAAAATTATTAGTTGTTTTTTGCTTATAATTATTATTTTTTTGTGTGTGTGGTGATCTCGTTTGTACTCTAACAAATAAAGCTTGTCTGAATATCAGAGGGCAGAGCTAGCCACAAGTTAACCATAGAGGTCTGGAGGTCTGTACAGACAGACAGGAAGTGATATGACTGGGTGGAGAGAGGCATATAAGGTGGGAGGAGACAGGAGCTCGACCTCTTTTTGGGTGTGAAGTTGGTGAGGTAAGGTGTGGCTATGGCTGTGGCTTGCTCCTTTGTATCTCTGATCTTTCAGCATTTACCCCTATAGCTGACTCCAGGTTTTTATTATTTAAGACCAATTAGAACATGTTCCACAATTTTTAACTTTCATTTTTTTAACCAGGAACCAATCAGTAATCATGTATTACATTTTGTCATTTTAGTCTCCTTTAAATTAATGTAGTACAATACCCAAAAATGCCGTTAACATTTTTGACTGGTTTAGAGTGGTGGTTTTACTCAGAATGCTTTAGGTTAATGTTCTGTAGAGTATATCTGATTGTTTCCTCATGATTTAGTGGAGGTCAGACATTTTCGCAGGATTACTGCACAGATGGAATTCTTCAGTGGTGAAGTCCTATCACAACAATAATGGATATTCCATTGTTCGTAATTACTTGGTGACGGTAGAGACACAATAGTTCCAGAACATAAGTATTGCCATTAACAGTGAACTAACTAAATAGGCTTAACATTTCTTTGTGGTTGTTAGAATGCATCCAGGTAGGGAATGCAGCATGGGAATTGCCTAAGAGGTTTTTGAGTTCAGCTTTCTTTGTAATTATGTCACTATCTACTATCTAGGGGTCTTGATCAGGTTAAAGAATTAAAAGGCAGGAAAAAAAAAATCTTGCTCTCCGCAGATGACAGCTAGATTGTCCCAAGTTAAAAAGAAATAAGGGCACACATGTTTCTTTTCTTTTCTCTCCTTTTTTTTCTTATCCAGAAGGTAACAGGAGGATAATATTTAGTTGTTATGTAGATTTGTTACTGCAATTGGGGTCAGAACCTGAGTCCTAGCAGTTCTAACAAATCAAGTTTGGCCAGCCATTCTCAGTAGTTCACTTAAAGATATAATTGACATTGAAAAGTTTGGGCTAGGAGGATGGCTCAATTGCTAAAGTTTTTACTGTACAGTTTAGATCTATAGTACACATAAAAGCTCTGTGCAGCAGCAGGTGTGCTTCTGTAGCCACATTCAGGGTTGGAGAGTTATTGGTATGTGCAGATATGTGCTGTTCTCTAGAACTTATTGGCCAGCCAGCTTAGGTTTAGTGAGAGACCCTGTCTTTGAAATTTAGGTGGAATTAAAGTAGAGAGTAATTAAGGAAGACACCCAATGTTGACCTCTGAATTCCACATACATGCTGTGGTACACATACATCATATACATAATATTGCTTAATACTCAAACACACTGCGCTCACTTACTTGCTCATACACACACACACCTGGGGTGGGGTGTCTCTACCCAAGCTAGAGAGTCTTCTCTTGACCAGAAGGAATTTTCCTTTGGTAGTCTTTTACTGCTACTCTGTCATGGCCACATTGGGAAGAACAAAGATGTCAAGTGATACCTCTCCCTATGTCCATCTTCATGCTCCTAACAAGAGGGTTAAACTTAAAGGCAAGAGATGTGCACAGATAGCTAAGCCATTTCTGTCAAGTTGTGGACCCACCTATCATTGTCTTTGCTCTTGTCTTACCATAAGGTGGTTTGACATATCAGAACTGGGTAGAATCTGTTTCTTGGTGAGCTCTCTCTGGCTGGTACCAGGGTGGATTTGTTTCTTTCTCCCAGCATAAGGCTTCTAAGAAATTCCATTTCCCTGTGGTACAGTGTTTCATGAGTCTGGTAGTCAAAGGGAGGATCATGTGTGTCTTTGCAGGATGTTTGCTAGGCTAGGTACAGACTGAGAGTGATCATAAGGTACAACCAACTAGCCCAAAGAAAATAAAGCCAATAATGTTTACTCAAAGTTTGTACATGACCTGCCTGCCTGCTTTCCAGATTCGGCTTCTCATCACCCACCTTGGGAGATATTCTTTAACTCTTTCGCTGACCTACCTATTCCTCCTACTCATGTGTTCCTTCAAACTTGTACTGTTCACTAAGCCACTTTCGTCATAGCACCATTTCACACTGAAGGTAGTTTTGGCTTTAACTAAACTTTTCTCTTCACCATAAGCACTTAATATTAAAAATCAGCAGAAAACTGGGCATGGTGACATATGCCATTAATCCCATCACTGGGAAAGCAGAGGCAGGAAGGTCTCTTGAGTTCAAGTCCATCCTGGTTTACATAGTAAGCTCCAGGTCAGCCAGGGCACGGATCCTCTTTCTTGGGTTGCACTGATGGAGTGGTGTGGAAGCTTGAGACAGGATCTCATGTTGCTCAGGCTGGCTTTAGTTTTCTATCTACTTGAGGCTTGCTTGATCTCTGGATCCTATGCACGGGCCTCCTGGGTGCTGGGATTATGGGCATTTGGTAAATGAAACCTTAGATCCTTTTGAAGACTTGCAGCCTGGGGCTGCCCAGCTGTTCACTTGCTCCTGGACTTGAATGTTGTATATACAGTGAGTGTAAGGAAAGATGGAGATACTGCCTTTTCCTTTCTTCTGTAGAATACTTGTTCTGTTTGGCATAGGTCTTGCTTGTGTCAGCCAATTCTACTGAACCATAGAATCTGGTCCCACTATGTTCTGGGAGACAAGAAACTGAATTATTTTTGAATTGCTTTTAGGAACAGTAGAGGATGAGCTCCCATGCTTGTCTTATTGCCTGACATTTGCTGAATATATAGAAAGACTGCAAATAAAAAAATGGGGTAGGACTGGTGGGATGTGAGATGAGTCTGCAGGGGAAGATGCTTGGCCTTAATATGGTACCTGGAACCCCTGTAAACAAGGAAGCAAAGAACAGACTCCACAAATTTGTCCTCTGGTCTCCACACATGTCCACATCACAATAAATAAGTGTATAACATATAAGTTATTAGCTGTGTGTGTCTGTGTTTAGAAGTTTTACATAGTTTTATTACATACTCCCCCATCCTCAAATATCATTTATTTGACTTTGTTTTTCTCTGATGTGTTTGTTACTAAACTGCATTACCTTCCTATCTGTGATTAGCATCTGTTTCTGTTTTAGGCGGTTCTGATGCAGTCACGTGAACAGGTTTCAGAAGAGCTGGTGAGGTTACAGAAAGACAATGACAGCCTCCAAGGAAAGCATAGCTTGCATGTGTCATTACAGCTAGCAGAAGACTTCATCCTCCCAGATACTGTGGAGGTAAAGTATTTGTCACATCTTCAAAAGAACAACAAAAAAAAGTGTACTTTTTGAAATGGTTGTAAGTTCCTTTAAAAAAAACTTCTGACTTAGTCCTTAAAGATTGGCCTCACTAATAGCCTGGTTGGCCAGAAATGAACTGTAGACTAGGCCCTTTGCCTCTGCCTGGCTTTTTTATTTTTGTCTTGTGTTAGTTTTCAAGATAGGGTCTCACTGTGTTGCACTGACTGTTCTGGAACTCATGATGTAGATCAGGCTGGCCTGTAACACACAGATAGCCACCTGCTTCTGCCTCCTAAGTACCAGGATTAAAGGCATGCACCACTACACCTGGCCCTTCATTAGTTTTTAAAGATTTTAATTTTGTTTGTGTGTTTGCCAGGTTTGTGGCTTCTGAGAAAGCCAGAAGAAGACATTGCATTGACTGGAACTAGAGTTATAGGCACTTGTGAACCTGGATTCTGGGAGCTGAGCTCCGGTCCTTTATATTAGCTGAGAATGTACTTAACCTCTGAGCATCTCCCCAGCCCCTTTTTGGCTACTTTTGCCTTAAAATCTGCTTGTCAAATAAATGTAGTTTGGATGAAAAGTGTGTGCCACCATGACTGGTATTTTGATTTTAAAAGATGGCATTGCTGGATTTGTAATTTTGGTTGGAAGTTATTTGGAATATATTAGTCCATGCTCTCCTGGCCTTTATGGTTTCTGTTGAGAAGTCTGCTCTTACTCTAATAGATTTGCCTTTGTAAAGTTGGCACTTTCTTCATGGGGCTGGGGAGGACCTGGGTTGGAGCCACAGACTGTTTCTTTTCTCTACTTTGCCTTTCAGTTTCCCCATGCTTTTTCATTGTCCTCTCCCCCTTCTTGATTGGTGATGCCCTTTCTCTTTTGGAATATGGCCTGTCACTTGTTACCCATCTCCTCATCCCCCCAGAGGAATGGAGGAAGGTTCTGTTTCACCATTTTACATCAGAAGAACCATTAAACTGTTTTGTTTTTCCCTCTGAACTTGGGACTCGAAGTCAGAGGTAGGTGGATTTCTGTGAGTTTGAGGCCAGCCATGACCACATATTGAGACTCTGCCTCAAAAAAAAAAAAAAAAAACCTTTTTAAAACTGTGCCACTATTTTCTCTTCTCAGGAGCATGGCTGATGTCTACATCCTTGTTATTTCACTTTGGATTATAGTCATCATAGTGGACAGGAAATGGTATCTCATTATGGTTTCAGTTTGCATTTCCCTAACGCCTGGAGGCATTAAGCATCTTCTCATGCACTAATGTGTGATTTCTGTATCTTCCTGGAGAAATTCCCAGACCTGTTGCTCACTTTAAAACTGGATTGTTTGTCTTATTGCCTTGTATTACTTCTCCATACGTTCTAACCAATCCATGGTTTGCAAGTATTTTCTTCCGATCTATAGGCTGTCTTTTTAACTTTTTAGTGGGTTATTTGAGATACAATTTCATTTTTAATTTTGATGAAGCCAGTTTATATTTGTTATTCTTCTGTTGCTTGTGCATTCAGTGTTGGACCTCCACTGCCAAATTCAAGATCTATGCTTTGCCATGTAGGACCAGATGTAGAACAAGTCATACTTAAGCTCACCTAGCTGGTTATTTGTGATATTTGCTTTGGTGGGTAGAATTTAAAGAATTATATCACACTCACCATCTTTTTGTCTGTAAACATGGTATTCTTCTGTGGTAGGGAAATGCTATAACTATCTTTCAACATTAAAAAAAAACCCAACTTTTTATTAAGCTTATAAGCCTGAAACTCAATGTTGACTAGGTAAAAACAAGATTTCTTAGAACAATTTTCAAAACAAGAGAATGTTATTTTTGAGATCTTCTTCTTCCTCCTCTCTCCCCCTTTCCCTATCTCTTTTTCCCCCTCCCCCTTCCCTTCCCCCTCCCTTCTTTTTTCCAAAACAGGGTTTCTCTGTGTAGCAGCTTTGTAGACCAGGCTGGCCTTGAACTCACAGAGATCCGCCTGCCTCTGCCTCCTGAGTGCTGGGATTAAAGGCGCACATCACCATGCCAGCTGCTGCTCCTGCTGTTGCTGCTTCCTCCTTCTTCTCCCTTCTCTTCCTCTTCTTCTTTCCAGTTTATTTCTCCAAGTTTTTTTTCTCTTTGTTCTTCTGTCTTTGTGAAGTCACCTCTTTATATTGGGCTGTGTAGGGTGTACCAGGCCAGCCTGGGCAGCACAGTAAGCCCCATCCCCCAAAAATAGGTAAATGTAATTAAATAGAAAGCTATTTGGGGATGCCAATTTAGATGTGATTTAGTTTCCAGAAGACTTAAAGTTTGGGGGAAAAGCCAGATACGGTGTCATATTCCTGTAATCCAGCACTTGGGAGGCAAAGGCAGGTGGAGCTCTGTGAGTTGAGGCCAGCTTCTCTCAACAAGAAAAATGGGGGGAGGGTATATAAGTAAGGTAAGTTAAATATATTTTATTCTGAGTTTACACTTGTTCCTGAGTTTTTCTTTTTTTATCTTAATGAAAGTATTCTTCTTAGTGAATTTCATGTGGAAAGTTACGTAACATTTTATTTTATTTTCTGCTCATAAGACAACTTTGAGGGAAAATGTAGTTCACAATATAACTTTTTTGGCCATTTGAATGTTAATATGCAAAGGCATGTGCTTTCAGAACACTGTTTTTGTTGTGTGATGTTTTACTCTATGGCCTTTTTGAGGAGCCCATCACCTGACTCTCAAATAAATCACACACAGAGTCTTATTATTACTTATGAATGCCTGACCTTAGCTTGGCTTGTTGCTTGCCAGCTTTTCTTAAATTAACTCATCTACCTTTTACCTCTGGGCTTTTCCTTTTCTATTTCTGTATACCTTTCTTTCCTTCTTACTCCATGTCTTCCTGAGTAGCTGGGTGGCTGGCTGCTGATATTCTCCTCTCCTTGTTCTCTCATTTCTCCTATTTATACTCTCCACCTTCCAGGCCCACCTATCCTGGCTTCTGCCTTGCTATTTGTCATTCAGCTCTTTATTAGGACCATCAGGTGCTTTAGACAGGCAAAGAATCACAGCTTCGCAAAGTTAAACGAATGTAGCATAAACAAAAGTCACATACCTTAAAATAATATTCTACCACACTTTGTGGTCATTGAAATTCACGGTCTAAATATTTGAATCATTTGAAACATAATCTTCAGCTTCTCTCACCTTCACAAATCCAGTAACTTCTTGTGTACTGAATGTAGGTGCTCCGGGAACTGGTGTTGAAATATCGAGAGAACATTGTTCACGTGCGGACAGCAGCAGACCACATGGAAGAGAAGCTGAAGGCTGAAATACTCTTCCTAAAAGAGCAGATTCAAGCAGAACAGTGTTTAAAAGAAAACCTTGAAGAGACTCTACAGTTGGAAATAGAAAACTGCAAGGAGGAAATAGGTGAAGAAAAATGTAGTTTGGGGGCTGGGGGTGTAGCTTTGCTTGCCTGGGCACAGGAAGATCAGAAGTTCAAGGCTAGCCAGGACTACAGGAGACTGTGTCAAAAAGCAAGCTAACAAAAAGTGATTCATCAGTAAATAACACTGAGAATAATGTATTGGCCATGGATGTGGAAATCAGAAGTATAGGAAAAAATACTTGTCCTAGGAGTTTAGATGTACATTAACTATGAACCCCCCTCCTCAAATCCTTTGTACTTTTATGGGCTCTGATGGTAATGGAGCCAAAGGTCACCGGGTAGCAGGGTCAGATGGGCAGCATTTCCTTACAGAACTTTTTTGCTAACAGCAGAAATTTACCACACAGTGTGCATGTATAGTTGGCCTTTCCCTGAGCTTTGTTTTAATGTCAGTTCTCTGGGATAGTTTGAGAGAGGGCACATTCCTATAAAGTGTTATCTCTGACTCCTCTGGGGACATTTTAAGGAAAAACAATGAAAAAATAATAAATGATTGCTAATATTTCTCCCTTTTGTTCTAGCTTCCATTTCTAGTCTAAAAGCTGAATTAGAAAGAATAAAAGTTGAAAAGGGACAGGTGAGTCACAAGTTTAAAATTAATTCTACCAACACGTAGTGGTTACTTATTAAATCCTGTGCTAGAACAAAGAAATGAAGATAGCTTTTAAGAAACTCTGCCTAGTGGGAACACAATGGGTAGTGATGGAGAATGTACATTGAGAACTTGCTATGTGCTGGGCAGAGTACAGATGTAGCCTGGCATGGTCACTGCATGACTGCTGCATTGCAAGAATGGGTACAGTTGCACCCACAGGACATGATATTTATTTACTAACTGCCCCTGCTACTCCCTAGCCTCTGGGTACTGAATCAAAAGATCTTTGGCTTCCAGTGCTGCTCCACTTGTAACGCTGGCTGTGCCTTGTTTTTCATTCTCTCTCTCTCTCTCTCTCTCTCTCTCTCTCTCTCTCTCTCTCTCTCTCTCTCTCTCTCTCTCTCTCTCTCTCTCTCTCTCTCTCTCTCTCTCTCTCTCTCTCTCTCTCTCTCTCTCTCTCTCTCTCTCTCTCTCTCTCTCTCTCTCTCTTTTTTTTTTCAAGACAGGATTTCTCTGTATTGTTTTGTAGGCTGTCCTGGAACTCACTCTAGACGAGGCTGGCCTTGAACTCACAGAGATCCACCTGCCTCTGCCTCCTGAGTGCTGGGATTAAAGGTGTGCACCACCAATGCCCAGTTTGTTTTTCATTCTTTACTCCAGTCTCCTCCTGTTTTACTTGAGTGCCTCTTCCACCTCCCTAAACTTGAAGCAACAACTTCCATCTTCGCTCTCTTTCCCCTAAACTGCACCATTCATGACTAACAGGGTTCTTTTTGTTTTTTTTTCCAGACAGGGTTTCTCTGTATTGTTTTGGAGGCTGTCCTGGAACTCACTCTGTAGACCAGGCTGGCCTCAAACTCACAGAGATCCACCTGTCTCTGCCTCCCGAGTGCTGGGATTAAAGGCGTGCGCCACCAACACCCGCAACAGTGTTCTTTAGTTGGCTTCCAACCCTTACTCTTATCCCCTAACTCCTTTTCTTTTTTTAAAGAAAGGTGACTTTTTTTTTAATGTACATTGATATATTGCCTGCGTGTGTGTGAGTGTGTTGGGTTCTCTGGAACTGGAGTTACAGACACTTGTGAGCTGCCATGTGGATGCTGGGAATTGAACCTGGGTTCTCTAGAATAGCAGCCAGTGCTCTTAACCGCTGAGTCATCTCTCCAGCATCCCCTTAACTTTTCTTTTGCTGCCCTCATTCAATTATTGCCCAGTTCTGGATTAGGCCTGTTGTTTCAAGAAGCCAATACTCCCAAAATTGGTGGTTTCTCATGCCTTAGCTACCATGGATTCCAATATTTCTAAGACATGTCTCTTTCCCTTCTTCCATTCGTCACAACCTCACTTGTTTCCTAAGAGGCCTCCAGACTAGAGCCTGTTTCAGTTCATCTCTGTATTGAAGCCAGGCTGTCTGAGTCTTTTTGAAGTCTTCAGCAGTTGAGGACAAGTCCATAGGCCTTTGTGCAGAAGTCTCTCACCTCAGGGGTCTCAAGACTCCAAGATCCACAGCCCCATACTGCTGCAGGCAGCCAGAGCTTACTTAAGCCCTTGGGCAGGGCAGCCAATCTGTTTTTGGAACATCACGTATTTTCTTTACCTTGTCACCCTTTCCTTCCCCTGCAAAAACATTAATCGATTCTGGCAATGCAAAGAGAGGAAAAAGGAGAACCACAGGTTCAGGCCTGCCTGTTACACAGCTCAAAACCAGCCTGAACAACAATAACAAAAGGAGTTGGAGGTGGAGATGAGTGATAGTATACTTACCTATCCTGTGAGATCCTGAGTTCAATCCCAATACTAAAAGCAAAAGTCACTCATTGTCTCTTCTAGAAAATATTGTCCAATTTTTCTTCCTGAATTAATGCTGCTCCCTTTGTGTTGATATGCATTCATTGTTTCCATGTCTATTTCTCCTGACTTCTCAGTTTCAGGCCTTAGAATCAGAATATGGTGGGTACATAATAAATTGGTAAAGACCAGGTTTGGAAGAACGAGAAGAACCTATACTCTGAAGCTTGAGAAGAGTATTCCAGGCACAGCCAAGTCTGAGCAAGCCTGAGTCTGAGCACAGTATTCTGGGTTACAGACACCTCTAGATAGTGTTTGTGTAGCCTTCAAAGTTTCTATGAGTTTCAGTTTTCCCTTTTGATTCCCTTTTCACAGTTGGAATCTACATTAAGAGAGAAGTCACAACAACTTGAGAGTCTCCAAGAAATAAAGGTTAATTTAGAGGAGCAGTTAAAGAAAGAAAATGCTGCCAAGGTAATTATGTTTATTGGTTATTTAATTTAAAAAACAAGGCTAAGGCATGGTAGTGAACACCTTTAATCCCAGCACTAGGGAAGCAGAGGCAGGTAGATCTCTGTGAGTTCAAGGCCAGCCTGGTCTACATAGTGAGACCCTTTCTCAAGCAAACAAAAATTACAAAAAGCAAGGGGGCTAGAGAGATGGCTTAGTGATTAAGAGCACTGGTACTCTTGGAGGACCTACATATTGTATTACAACCATTTTTAAAAAATCTAGTCACAGGGGGATCCAGTGCTTTCTTCTGGCCTCATGGGCATTGAAGGCATATGTATACACAAAACACCCATACACATGCATTTTTAAAAATTAAAGTCCAGGCATTGGTGGCACACACCTTTAATCCCAGCACTCGGGAGGCAGAGGCAGGCGGATCTCTGTGAGTTTGAGGCCGGGCTGGACCGACAGCCTCCAAAACAATACAGAGAAACCCTGTCTCGTAAAACCAAAAAAAAAAAAAAAAAAAAGAATGTAGGAATTCATCATACCTATTTAGAAAAAACACAATTTTGCTGTTTTGCAGTTATATTCTGAAAATTGGTTCTTCTAACAACTTGCAAAAAGATGAGAATTTAACGTCCCTAGAGTTAGTTGGGGTAAATCTTCCCTCTGCCAGTTCTGGGGTCTTAGGTTATAGACTTTATTGGCTTCAAGTACTTGGTAAGAAACATTGAACCTGGAGCTGGAGAGATGGTTCAGGGTTAGTAGTAGTTAAGAATACTGGCTACTTTTGCACTGAAGTAGTATTCAGTTCCCAGCTTGCATATGGTGGCTCACAACAGTCTGTAACTCCAATTCCAGATTTGGTATAATTTTCTGGCAAACACATTGTGCACATACACATATGCACACAATTACTTATACATACAAAATGCAATAGCCATACATTGAGCCTAACTTGGGCAGTGCTCTATTAGAAACATTTCTCTAAGCTGGGTGTTGGCCTGCCTGCAGTTCCTGTTACTGAAGGCTAAGGTAGGAAGATTGTTAGTTCAAAGGCCTTAAAAAGGCTATCAAGTAGCTTAAGGCCTGATTTGACAACTTAGTTGAACCATTTCAAAGAGAAGTTAAAAAGTTGCTGTGGGGCCTGGGGAACAGATATAGTTTAGTGGTAGACTGCTTGCCTAGCATGTGTAAAGCCCTAGGTTCAAACTCCAGAGATGAAGGAGAGGTTGCTTTGAAAAACATTACTCTATCCCACCCCCATATCAAATGCTAAGATTGCCTTGAAGCAGATTTCCAGGCTATCCTGAGTCTGTATAGAATAAAAATGCATGTGGCTGACTATGGGAGACATTGCCTGGACATGGTCTTAGTAAGCTACATTGGTGGTCAGTTGATTTTTGTTTTTAGAAAAATGCTCCCATGATTTTCAGTAAGAAAGGCTGTTGCTGGCTGGGGCTGAATAGCCCATATTAACTAGATGTTTGATCTAGTAATTGTCAGAGGAAATTCTAAGTGTGTGGCCATGTTGCTGTGTGACAGCTGTTGACCTCAGGAGCAAGGGACACAGCACTTTGAATACATTTCTTATCCTTGTCTTATACCTAGAGCAAGTGACCTACCCAACTGGCATTGTTACCTTATGGAAAGAGAGAATGGGTGGGAGGAAACAGAGCAGCAGGTAAAGGTGCTTGCTGCCCAGCTGGATAACGGGCATTTCGTCCTTGGGGCCCACACAGCGGAAGGAGAGAATCAGCTTTCTTAAGGTTGTCCTCCTGGTTCCCACCTGTGAGTGCTTCCCTCTCCACCCTACCCCATACAAGTAAAAGCACAATCTGTAATCCTACAAAAAAGATGGAGGCAGGTGGATCAGAAATTCAAGCTCATGTTCAGCTACAGTGGAGCAAGTTCGGGGGCTAGTTTGGGCTATAAGAGACCCTGTGTTAAATAAAGGTGGGAACCAGTGAGGCAGCTAGAGGTACTTACCACCAAGCTTGAGTTTAATCTGTGGGACCCACGTGGTAAAAGGAGAGCTGACTCCTACAGCTTGTCCTGTGACCTCAACTTGTGTGCTGTAGCATGAACACCCTCCCCCAATCAGTAGAAAAATAGAAATGTAGTTTGAAAAGGTTAATGGGAAGGACTGTATGAGCTGGGGCTGTGGGAATGCACAGAAGCTCAGACTATGGACCAATGGCTAGGGAGCCTTCATAGGACTGGCCTCGGCCCTCTCATATGTGTGATGGTCATGTGGCTTGGTCTACTTGTGGGACTCCTGACAGTGCGAGTGGGGCCTGTCCCTAACACTTTGGCCACTGTTCCTAATGTTGGGTTTCCTTGCCCAGTCTTAATACAAGGAGAGGAGCTTAGTCCTACTTCAATTTGATGTGTCATGCTTTGTTGGCACCCATGGGAGGCCTACCCTTTTCTGAATAGAGGTGGAGGAGGGTGAACTGGGGTAGGGGATCAGAGGGGAGGAGGGGGTAAGCTGCAGTTGGGATGAAAAATAAATGAAAAAATGTGATTAATAAAAATAAAAAGATTAATGGAATATGGAGGTATTATTATTCAGGTCTCTGCTCTAGTAGCAGGAAGAGTTGGAGATATAGCTTGGTGGTGTAGAGGCTTGTTCACCACCAAGCTGTGGCCCTGGGTTCAATCCTTAGTACAAAAAAGAAGAAAAGCTTACAGCTTCCTTGTAGTCAGTAACTAAAGTTCCTAAGGAATTTTAGGAACTCTGGCTATCTATTTTGAATTAATCTTCATTCAAAACTTGTATTTTTTAGGCTACTGTTGAACAGCTCATGTTTGAAGAGAAGAACAAAGCTCAGAGGTTGCAGACAGAATTAGATGTCAGTGAACAAGTCCAGAGAGATTTTGTAAAACTTTCTCAGACTCTTCAGGTGAGGTGTTTGGGGAGCTACCCTGGCACTCTGTGGGAGGGGGCACCAGTGTAGCTGGAGATTTCCGACTGACTCTGATGTCTGCTTAGTACTCAAGCAGGAGCATGGTCTGTTACAGACTTGGCCTCCTTCTCCTTTCTCTTCTTCCTTGCCAATTTTGTCTCGAGAGTATAAATGGGATGGGCACTGAGGGGGCACTAGCAGGGCAGAGGGATACCAGTCTTACATAGACTGAATTTGGTGGATTTTCAAAGAATGTTTTTTTTTCCCTTCTTTTCTTTGAAGAGCCTAATCTGGTGAATTAATCTGCTGCATGTCAACTAAAATGGTCAAAGTAGAGGGAACATAGGTAGGGCATCACCTGCACTCATCACGGCTTTGTTTCTCCAGGTGCAGTTAGAGAGGATTCGGCAAGCAGACTCCTTGGAGAGAATTCGGGCAATTCTGAACGATACCAAATTGACAGACATTAACCAGCTACCTGAGACATGACACCCTGGTAGCAGGATTCTAACCTGCATTTTGGGTTTTTAACTCATCTTTAGAATAACATTAATTATTATTTAACTCTTATTGGAAGAAGTCACAGCAAAAGGAAGATTGGAGAAATGCAAATCTGGAGGGAGAAGGCTGCTGTGCACAAGGACAGTCAACAGATGTTTCTAAGGGAACACTAATGGGACACCGGACTCGATTCCAACAGGTGTGGGATCAGATTTGGTGGCCAGAAAAGTGCTGTTTCCTTGCCTGCTTTCTCTAATATGGATTCTGGAACACATTTCCTGACATGAAAGCAACTTCCCCATAGTGTTTGGAACTGTTTTCTGTTCATACAAACTGGGAGAGAGGCTTCTTTTTTCTGTTGTCTAGGGCTCATCAGTAGCAGTGTTCAGCTAGCAGAAAGGTGTAGTGTGCTGTATGAGTATTTTATATTAAAATATGAAGTGTGAGAGCAGGCCATTGGCTGGTGACTGTATCTTCCTGGCTCAGTGCATTTTTTTTTTCTTTTTACCATTTTATCTTCTATTGGAAGACCTTAAATGCTACTGAAATTTGCCTGAGAATTACAGGACCATGGCAAATAAAACAGCAATTCAACAAAATTAGGAGAATCTGAATACTTGGCTGAGGCCATATATATATTGGAAGTTGAATTTAAAGGAAAAAAGCACAAGAAACCTTGGAAGCACTTTTTCTGCACACCAGGATGAACTTCCTGGGCCCACAGGTCCCAGGGCAAAGGAGAACTGGCACCATCTACCCTTTCGAAGTGTTTTATTAGTTACTGGATCAGTGGAAAAAATAATATTAATAAAACAAGCTATCTCTGACATCTAGTACACATGTATAAATCTGCTTATTTTCAGCCTGCCTCAGAGCCATACTATTTAAAGTGTCACATATAGAATGGTGATGGTTTACAGATCTTTGTATTTTTGTTTTACAGTTTAGATCTACAGTATAAATGACTATGCTTACAGTGAAGCTGGGGATACTTAACTAGTTCAGAATCTGCTTCACTTTTTCCAATACTTGAGGTTCCTTTCCTATGTGGAGAAGCAGCCAGTGGATCAGGCTGTTAATCCCAAACAGCTTTATGAAATGGTACAGAGATCAGATTGTGCTCGTGTACTACCTACCAGCTGTAGACTACCCTGAGAGCAGCCGGTGGACAGCTAGCTGTGTTACTTAACTCGTGGTTTGAATGTCAAAATGTTTTCAAGTGAGTGGTGTTGACTTACAGCCAGTACCCAAAAGAACCTTACAGAATGAGAGAACTAGACTTTTTGGGCTTACTTTATCAATTCATAGCATAAATGGGCCTTATAGTAATGAGTCATTATGAGTTTGCCTTCAAGGTCTTTGCTGTTTTCTTTCATAAGACAGATAAGACCTATATTACCCTATCCCATGGGTTATTTTTTTATAGTCTTGTGTTTATGATTATGAATTGCGGAAATAGTGTTAAAGGCTTGCCAATGCATGGAAACAATTGGCTTAAAGTCCCCTTGTACACAGTACTACTTGGTTTAAAAGAAACATAGTATCCTCCATTGAGTTAAAGGAACTTTATTAATTATGTGATTAACTTAGTTTTTTTTTCTGAAACTAGTTCTAGGGCTCCAAGCTAATTTGTTTTGGATCACTGTTGGCCACACTGAATGGGTAATTCATAAATCATTCTTAACTGTCACCCCAGTGCACTGTTCTCCTGAGACCAAGCATCTTACAGACCCCTTGCTCCACAAGTTGGGGATTGAGCAATAAAGATATCATGATTAGGGGACTGTTTACAGAGTCTGCACTTGTGGCAAATGCAAACTGCTGGAATCCACTCAATTGAGAAACACACCCTAGAGGAACAGAAACTGAAACACTAGTTTTCCACAACTTGTCTGTAGTATGAAATAAACTGCTGCTACACCACCAGGTAGAAAACAGTTCTTTAAACTTAAGTTTTCTGCATAAATGAGGTCTGGTTTAGAAGGTAGAATTCACCATGAAAGATCAGTCTGGTTTCATACATGTTCCAGTGCTGCATTCAGTCTGTGTAGACTTGTTCTCTTGCATGTCTAACCTGGCTTACCTTTTAACCCTTATCACGTGGCTTTTAATTGACAGACACTTGGATGTTTCTAGACAGGTACATTCTTACCTTTCAGAATTCAATTTGACAGGTATGAAAAGATGATCTACAGCTGAGGACAAAATGTATATGGCAGAACACATTTTTTTTTCCTTTAAGGTGCTAGAATTTGCACCTCCTACCCACCAAGTAGACATAGCCATAGCCAAACTGAGCTCTGAAAGGTAATGATGCCTGTGAGGAAATGAGCCAGCAGAGGGCTCTGCAACTGTAGATCTTTACCTCTGCTCTGAGCAGACTGCAGGTGTATCTGTGTGTTAACTGTACTGAAGGCATGTCCTTAACAAAGTATTCAAATTAAAAGAGCTGCTACTGAGTAGGGTGTGTGGCCTTTTCCTTTGCATCCTAGGCTTCTGACTCCCTGCAGAGGAGGCAGCCTTGGTACTGCTACCTAAGATGCAGCTCTTCCTCTTCAGACACAGACCTGGCAGTGTGCAGCTGAAGCCTGTGTCCCAGAATTTTGAAAAACAGATTATAAGGCAAAGTCAAATTCTGAATAAGAATTTATTCAAATATTACAAAACAAAAGGAATAACCAGAGAATAACCACACCAAAGTTTATCCAAAAATGCTTCTTTATAAATTAGATAGTGCTACCTGTTTGTTTTACAGCACATATTTGTAAGCCTTCAGTTGTGTTAACTTCAGGTGGTGTCAGAAGTTGACATGGTTTCGGATATCATTGATTTGCTTCACCATTTCCCTTATGTGTTCACCCCTGCAAAAGCATCAAATGGTTCACTTAAAAAATGAATGAGCCATTAGTATTGAGTTGTAAGATTTTTTCCCCCCATCCCCAGCTCTGAGACAGGGTTTCTTTGTAGGTCTGGCTATCCTGGAACTTTCTCTGTAGATCAGAGTTGGCCTCAAATTCAGAGATCCGTCTGCTGACTCCCAAGTACTGGGATTAAAAGGTGTATGCCACCATGCCCATGAGTCTAAGAATTTAAACTCTGTTGTAATAGACTTAAGAATGGCTTTGTCGATATTGAATGGCTTGAAAAGGTCTCAGGTGGAAAGAAATGGTTATGTGTGTGGTTTTGGGGTCTGAACCCACATTCAACAGATGCTTTGTCACTGAGCTATATATACAGCACAGCCCCAGGAACACTGCTAACCATATTCATGGGACAAACTTTGGTTACACAACAAAATCATAGGAGAGCCACTATTCTTCATCCCACCATATTTATCCCTCTATCATGCCATTCTGCAGGCAAATCCCAGACTCAGGATTCTTATCTAGACATTCAGGCAGCTTTTTGGTATACTGCCAAGGAAGAATTGTCTCACAACAGTAGCTGACTGGAAAACGTCAACTTACTCTTCTTTCAGGATGGATTGAATGCATTTTCGCTGGTAGGCACTGAGAGAAATGGTAGGTTTCTGAGGACTCAGCACTTTTTCCATCTTTCGTTGTTGATAATCTTTTTTCATAGTAACCTGAAGTGAAGTATTGAACAGAACAGATATTTTGACTATGGTTTGCCACACATTTTACAGTGTGTTCACATTTTTCAAAAATATATTAGCCACTCTGCACCCATTCTTGCCTGTTTGATGGCATTGCCTAGATGTCGTAGTTGATCAGGTATCAGCTGTAATTCTTTCTTCATGTCTCTCTCACTGTCAGAGAGAACTGGGAGCTGAGTATGAAAACTGTGAAGCACTTTTTTCATCCTTAAGAAAAAGAACAAAATGTGGATTAAGACTGCTAATTATAATAGAAACACATCAAGTTTCTAGTTCAAGAACTTGTTGTCTGACAGGAGTTAGGGGACAGTATCAAGTCTTTCCTGATACTTCAAAGGAGTGGAGTTCTGTAAATACTTGGTAAAATCATTAATCCTGACCTGTTCATAATATCTTCTTGTTTTTCTTTGGCTTCCTCATACTTGTCAGCTAAGCGCTCAGCCATTTCCCGTAGACTTTTCCTGGAGGAATGAAAAACTCTTGGGGCCTATATGATGTGGCATAGCATCCTGAGTGAGATGCAGTCCACTACTCCCCACAGTTTTCTTCTCTTTGGTTTTGACACCTACCTCTCCTCTCGACAGTAATTGAGGTCTTCTAGTTGTTTCTTTTTTTGGTCACATAATAATTTGACCCTTCAAAAAGAAGTAGTAGTAAAGTTAAAAGAAAGCCAGGATTCCACAGGTGACTACACTAAGCCAACACCTAGCAACGACTAGTGGCTGTTCAACACAGGATACTGTACCTCCGCTGAATCTCTTCCTTGGCAAGGTCCTGCTTGAGAATGTACTGTTCTCGAAATACCTGGGTGGCTCTGCTGATAAGTTGAAGACATTCCTCAGGAGGGGGAGCCAAATCCTTTTCAGATGATCTTTAGAACAGTTTCTGTCAGTTAGCCAGGTAAAGTAACCCAACAGACAAGTCCTACCTACTTTTTGTTGTTTGAGACAGGGTTTCTCTATGCAACAGCCCTGGCTTTCCTGGAACTAGCTTTGTAGACCAGGTTGGCCTCAGAGATCTGCCTGCCTCTGCCTCCTGAATTTTGGGATTAAAGGCGTGTGCCACTTCTGACTAGCTGATGAGATGTGCCATATCCCCTCCCACTGTACTGCAGAAAGAACGGACCAAAAGCAAGGATGAACACCTTGTAGCAAACACAGAGCCCCTAGGTTCAATCCCCATTTTAAAGAAAAAGCCCATTCTCAAAACTCAAATGCTCCAAATCCCATACTTAAGAAATGCTGGGTTGGCAGCACTACGTTGCAAGATGGTTTTAATATGCTTCTCAAAGGAGTCTGGGGTTTCAGCCAGGATGCGCAGTGGAGACTCTGCCACTTCAGCATCTTCTCGGGTACACAGCAGGGGAGGAGATGCTGGGTGGACTGTGCTTCTGCAAAACAAACAAGTCAGGTACACTATAGAGCTAGCTGTGGCATTACGATGTTATTAGCTACATTTATCCAAAACCGAGGACATGAGGACCTAAAGTGCTACTTTTATAAACTACAAAAATGTATGTTCTGTACTGAAAGGTCATCTTGGGAAGCTCCTATCTTGTCATTTGTCTGAGCATTTCAGACTATTTCTAAAAATTCTTTTTGAAAAGATCAAGGCAACTCAAAAAAAAAAAAATTCCATGGCCCTTGCAAAGGACCCAAGCCAGCACTATAATAGTAACCATTCCTTTCTGGGACATAGTTTAGATTTGGTAATTGTTGTGTATTGTATTTGCTTCTGTATAACATTATTTCTAAAAGTTACACTCAAGGGCAAACATTTTCAAAGGCAATTTCCATGAACTTCAGCAGTACCTAAGTAATGTACTTGAAGGTAACAATTCAAATTTGTAAGCTTGTATACAAGAGTGTTAATATACAGGCAACTTGTATTTTGGATAGTTGGCAGAAATATGATTAAAAGGTATCCTGCTAATTATGAATTTTCTCCCCTCTGAGATCGATGGAGATTGATGTTTTTATTGTTCAAATAAGTATGATCATGTTTTACTTAAAACACTAAAGGTGCCACATACCCTTGACCCCAGCACTCGGGAGGCAGAGGCAGGCACATCTCTGAGTTTGAAGCCAGCCTGGTCTACAGAGCGAGTTCCAGGACAGCCAGGGGTACACAGAGAAACCCAGTCTCGAAAAACAAAGATCAATGTATTACAAGGTTCTGGGAATTGAACTCAGGTTGTCAGGGTCAGTGGCATGCACT